ACTGGCTGAAGTCATCAAGAGTCTTGGGATGAGGTGCCTTTGCATGTTAATGTCACTAAGCTTTATTTCTCCTTGTCATTGAAATTACCCAAGGCTTCGGGTGCAGGTGTCACACCAATGCCTGGATGCTATAACGGACAGTGCAACATCCAGGTGAATATTAAGATACACTAAAGGTGAATCTTAATTAGGTATAGGCTCTGTGTACTGGCATTTCTAAGGTCCAGGCACTAGGTAACTGGTCTGGCTTAAATGGAGTTACACTTCCTTAAGGAAGAAGGTGTGACACTGGAGACCCAGATGGACTCCGTAGGTCAGGTTGTTTGGCAATATTTGTTCACAAGGGTTTTGTCTTTGTCTTCCTCTGAGTTGAGAAAGTATGACTTGCCCAAGATCGCCCAGTAGATTTCCATGGCCAAGCAATGATTTGAACTGTGGTCTCCAGACTTGTATTCTAACCCTCAAACCACTGCACTAATCTAGCTCTCTTTTTATATACCATCTGGAAATTAAACTGAACAGTTATCTCTCTTTCTGATACAATCTATTAAATGTGAGTGTGATTAAATGGACCTTACCGCCTATTGCACATGAATCATAGAGTTGGAGTATCTAGTTCAACCCCCTGCCCTGCACAAAAGCACAATCAAAACAACCCCAACAGATGGCCATCCAAGACCAGTGCATTTTTCTTATTCATATATCATGCAGTGCAATACAGGAAAGAACAGAAGCATGATGAGCTAAAACAGGAAAGTTATGTCACTTATTTCATTGACATGACAAACATAATACTGGCCTCCCGCTGGTTAGGCAGTTTGTTTTCTCTCAGTACTGCAGCGTATTTGATGATTTTTTAGTGACAACTTCTGTTTGTTTATTTGAAATGTTACAGTTAGACCACTTGTTAATGACAGTATGTACTTTGTAGCAAGTTATGGGATGATATTAGCTCTGCCCGCCATCAAAGGTGTGGATTCTAGTCTCAGTATCTGCTTGTTTGCGCTCCAACCTGTTTGCATCATAAAGCTTATTCATGTTTTATATCTGAGACACCTTGGATAATGTTGGCATCTGTTTCCTCCTGAATACTTTATAATGAAAATCTTGGTGTTATCTCCATTGTACCTTAACAGTACTTGTTTGGATCCTTCATTAGTATCTTATTTTGATATCGTATACTCATGTCCTCCTCAATTCATTTAAAAGATACTTTAAAACTAGGAGGTCCTGTGCGGATGGATTAATCATCCTGTATTGTCCTGAAGACTGTCAGAAGAAAATCTTTCTAGTGAGATCATGGATTAATTAGCGGGGAAAGAAAAAGAGCTGCATGATAATCATTCCCATTTAGACTGAGCACTCCTTGGGAACATATGGGCCTTAGTGATGAGCTAAATGTTAACAGCTTTGCTTTCAGTTTGTAACACAAAAGCAACAAAAGACCTTTCCTTCTTTGTTCAGGTTGTATATTGAATGACGCACAATATGTATGTGAACACCTTAGGAGTCTTCATAGAAACTGTAACACTTCATTGAAGTGGATTTTTGTGTTAATAAAATCAGCGAATGAATATATTGGTATCTTCTTCAGAGTTATGTGGAGAATATATTTTTGGATATATTCTTAGGGCTGCTATATTCCCACTTAGCTAGAAATAAGTGGTATCGAACATAGTGGGGCTTGTTTTTAAGTAAAGATGCTTCAAGTGTTGTCTTGGAACAAATCTGGTCTCTTAAATGACTTGCCTCTGAAAGGAGCAGTAATCTGGGACCTGAAATTCTTGTCTAGTTGAGATGATAATTGTTGTCAGAAAGAAACTCCTGATTTTTGTTCTTGCTAAGCCTGTTTCCACTTCTTGTGAAGGCCTTATTAAGTCAGCCATGGGAGTAGCAATGATATTTGGGATGGAGAGAGGTTTTGTTTTGTTTTCTAATAAGTCCTTATCTATCTCTCCTTTACCCCAGCATGCTGATGCATTCAGATCAGGTGGTTGATATATAGCAGTGGTTCCCAACCTTTTTTTTTTTTTTTTACCAGGGATCGCTTTGACCAGGGACCATTCTCCAAAATTACTACCAAAGGGGTTACAAACCAGTTTTTAATCAACTTTAGATTTGGTTTGGTTATTTGTGGTGCTGATTCAGAAAATTGCATTGGATAGAACACATCAGCCCTAGTTTCTGAAACAGAACACATGCCATCCAGTAATCGCCTTCTGCTCTCCCACAGAAAACCATATTTAATAAGCCTCGGCTCTATAAGATGGTTTCACAAGACCAGTTGCTCTTGTTGCAATGTTGTAGTAAAGGTGAGGCTGCGGACCATATTATAGTTCTTGTGGACCACTGGTGGTTCATGGACCATAGGTATGCCTAGGTGTGGTGCTCATAAGAGTTGTAGTTCACTTAAGTAATTTATGACAGTGCCTTCATATGGGGAATGCAGTACATTACAGGCATTACAGTACAGTGGTCCACGCCTTAGTTACCTCTAGATTGGTCTATTGCAATGAGGATGCTTGCCATAGATGCAGGCGAAACGTCAGGAGAAAAATTGCCTCCAGAACATGGCCATATAGCCCGGAAAAACCTACAACAACCCAGCGATTCCGGCCATGAAAGCCTTCGACAATACATTAAATAATGTTTCTTTATCATAGAGATTCATAACATCTTATTTTGGAACCTGTGTGTAAACAAGAAGATAATCCCCATGAAGCAGTTCTTGAAACCTCTTGGGAATTCCGCAATGCTATCTTAGTTGATGATATCAGTGGCTGTAGTTTGACACTGTTTATAATTTACTGGAGTGTAGTTACACATATTTAGTGTTCTGAAAGAAATCTTCATGATTGTTAATCTTTGAAGGAGGAAGAAGGTATAAAGGGGAAACAAATAAAGCTGAATGTAGGAAACAAATGAAGCAGATGGAAAGGATACAAAAATGGATCAAATCCGCCTGATGCTGTTTTTATTGTCATCTTATTGTTCTCAGTGGCTACCATCTGTCTTATTTTAATACATACAGTAGTTTTATCAGGCTGTACTATAGGCAGAGATGGAAATCCGGTGCACTGCTGACGGTATAACATTGTCAGCTATAGCATTCTCTTTCGTCAATTTATGTTCAAACTAATAGTTATAAAAAAATTAACTTGAAATGTTATCTGAATTTTCTTTTTCCTCCAACACTTTATCCCACTTACTTTATGTCTTGTGTTATGTGTGTTTTACTATGAGCCATGTAACTGATCTCATGTAAGCCAGTTGAATGAATAAATGTTTGTGGTAATGTTGACTTCAGCTCTGTGGCACTTCCCTTCAAAGAAGTGCCAAGAGAGTAATTGTAGAAACACTGGTGACACAGGCTAGAACTGTTCAAAATTTTAAATAATACAGAATGTGACAGAATTATTGTTAAATTTAGCTTGTTTTCTGATGTTCTAAGCTTTGATGAGATTGTCTATTCAGTATGCTAATTCATATTACTTCCACCTGGGTTAATCTACAAATTATTAAATTGGCTATTGTCTTTGTTTCTCTTCAAGAAGAACTTCAGACATAGAAAATCTGTTAAAGGGCCTGTTAATAATTTTTGAGAGTACTGTAGTTTATATAGAAAAACTACATCAGATTTTACTTCTGTACAGAGTTTAAAACTGCCCTTCCTTGTTGCCAGAGTGATATAAAGATTATAAAATAATTTAGAAAAAGCAATAGTAAATAGGTTAGTAAAAGAATGTAGAAACACTACTGAAAGCACACCATTAGTAGTGGTTTCCTAAATATAATTAGATTGGGCTGGGGAATCTTTCACTTTGTACTTCAGGAAATGTTAGCCAGTTTCAATATCAAATCCTCATCATTTGCTTTACAGTGTTATTACAGCATAAGCTTTTGTGGACAGCGGTCAATGTCATCATTTTGTTCTGTTGAATTACTAGTTTATATGAGTTGAGTTACGAATACATTAAGCACTTGAACATACAATACCAGTATTTTTAGAAGCTTTAATAAGCTGCGGGGAAGTAGTGGCTTCAGCAGTAAAGTTGCTAGAATTTCTCTGTGGTTTTGCTACATTTGCTTATTTCAAGCACCCTGCAACCAGGACAGCACCACAGTCATTATTTCCGTGCACTTTAATTTGGAGTGTCTTGGAAACCCTTTAGTTGAGGTGCTGCTTTCACACAGCAGTACAAAATCTACATTGAACTGGATTATATGGCAGTATCGACTCAGATAACCCAGTTCAAAGCAGATACTGTGGATTATCTGCCTTGATATTCTGGGTTATATGGCTGTGTGGAAGGGCCCATAGTTTAAGAGGTAGGGCACTAAAGCTGCTTTTGCCAAGGAGAAAGTTTGGCAATTGTTGTAGAAGCTATAAACAGTGTCACTGGTGCTCTCAGAAGCTTTGTGCTACAATTCCCAACGTTCCTGACAGTTGAACACCTGACTGGGCCAAAAAATCTTCTGGAAGAAAGGGACTGCCTTGCTAACTCTCTGGAATTTCAGCAATTTGCCCATCTTCCACTTCTTCATTTCTGTTAACTTAAAACTTTATGTCACCCTTTCTAAGCCTCATGCCTTCAGTTGATGCCAAGTTGGCTGGGGATGTTGTATACTTTGGGAGAAATAATAAGATGTATTTCTGTATTGTGTGTGTGTGTGTGGATGCTTTTAAGTCTTTTTTCAAACTAGACTACGTCTGGTTCATAGGGCTTTCTTGATCAATGAATGGTTATAATTCAAAACTACATTAAAAAACACAAATAAAACACAAGTTCAGTCAATTGAAATAATTAGGCTGGCTTTCCACAGATCTAGATTTTAATTTGACTTTTTTGTCTAATGGTCTACCAGTGTATAATCCTAAAATTCATAAAATTAAATAACACAAATTATTTAAAGTGAATAAAAGATTTATCTAATTCTGTTTCTTTTAACCTTCTCATATTTATAGCGTAAGATTAATTTTTAAAAAATACTGTTTTTAGATGACAGTGCCTCTGCCGCAAGCAGCATGGAGGTGACGGATCGCATTGCTTCGCTGGAGCAACGTGTTCAGATGCAGGAAGATGACATCCAGCTGCTCAAGTCAGCTCTGGCAGATGTAGTTAGGCGCTTGAATATTACAGAGGAGCAACAGGCCATGCAGAACAAGAAAGGACCTACCAAAGGTATTGATTCCAAATACTGCCATGCAACTTCACTACTTGTTATTTAACCTAGACATGTGTTGTGGTAATGCTGCCTTTTAAAAAGTAATCAAAGAAACTAAATATATGTAGAATTATCTGACAGGAGGTTGTTGTTGTTGCTGTTGTTGATTTATATAGTGCCGTCAATGTATGGCCCTTTACAGAAGAACAACCAAAAAGGGCAGGTACATTGTAAAATGTATATATAAACACTTTTAAACAAAGGTAAGGAAGAACTAATAAAATTTAAAGCTGTACAATACAATGCAGTTGAAAAATAAATTGTGTATTGAGGGCTGAGCCCATTCTGCAAAACCAACATGCCAGACATAGTACTTGTATGGGTCAAAAAGGCCAGAACCGTATTGATTGCCACTGTACATTCAGCTGATTCAAGCTCATGGGTCCAAGATCCAAACACTGGCACACATGTATCTTGATAGATGAGCCCAAAACTGCACCTCACTGCAGGAATCCGTGGGATGAAAGAAATGGGCACCTCCCCCTCCCCCCAGTGATGGTCCTCCTCTGCCATCAGAACATGTTGTAAAGAATATTTAAAACTCAGTAGGTTTAGTTTTAAAATCTATAAAATGATTTTATAAATCATGTTATAGTTTAGTTTCAACTTTTGGCTCTGTCTTTGATTATTATTATTTTTTGCTTATAATTGTAATAAGTTTTAATCTATAGATTAGTGTAAAATAGAGCAAGTGTTGAGATTGCAATATGTTGGTGCCATTAAGACAGGCAAGACTGAAGTATAGCCACACCTACAAAAAATGGATGTTCCCACTTATCCTGTGAAGGAAGCACATAGTTTTGGCTTTATTTTTTACTCTTCTTTGTCTTTTATTCCTTACACTGAGACTGTAGCAAAGTTTTGTCAGTTTCTTCAGTCTAACATTGCCAAAATTGAACCTTTTCTTACTGCTATGAATTATAAGATACAAAAAAATGGTAAACTTGGGCAAAATTGCCTCAGCAGTCTTTATTGTATCAAAATACACAAAAGAGAAAAAACGAGAAAGCCCTGTGACTTACGTACCCAAATTTCACCAAACAAAGAAGAGACTCTAATAGAAAACAAAAGACTTTTTGGAATTAAAGTGAGGCCACTGTGTGATATGGTCCATGTTACAATTGGAAATCCTTTTGAAATATCTTTAACGTTATTCACGCTAGCTTAATGAGGAAGCATTCCACAATCCTGTTATTTCTTATTTATTCCCTTCTTTCTCACCACCTTTCCTGTCCTGAGCAGAGTTCATCAGCAACATGGGGAAGCCATTTTGCGTACTTGAGGTGGAGCACAGTGAGTGGCTGTTTTTAATAAGAACTTTCTACATTAGCTACTCTTACAAGAGACAATGGTGGCCATTTTTAATAGAAGCTTACAACTTCTCAGGGTCTTGTTAAAAATGGTTGCATCCACTACACTTCACCTCAGGTATCCCAAAAGGCTACCCCACATTGCTGGTGAACTCTACTCAGTCTGGGGGGAAAGGGCATGGAAGAAACAAGGGATGTCTTTCCTACTCTGGTTTGGACTGGGGGCGAAGGTGGGAATGGAGTGGTATTGGTTGTTGTCACTGCCTTCATTCTGGGTTCCCTTTCTGAAACATGTAAAAAGTCAACCTAATTTGCAGGGAGGGGGGGTAATTTTCTCCCACAATTTTGACTTGCACATAAGTATATATGCTACACCTCAAGTGTTACTTTTCATTGCAGTCAAGAATCTATTTTTAAACACATTGCTTGCTTCAGTGATTGCAGGCTGAAGAGATATGATTAGTAATATAATTAATAAATTTAAAGATAAATTTAAAACTGAAAAAAACCCTTCAAACCTTACTTGGTTCTGGTTAGAAGACGTTATCCCTAGCTTTGTAATTCTGGGTGCCTATTTTATCTTTGTTTTACAGCAAGACCCCTAGTACAAACACTGCCTTTAAAGACTACTGTTAATAATGGAACTGTTTTACCAAAGAAACCCAGTGGCTCCCTACCTTCGCCATCAGGAACAAGGAAAGAAATTGTATCACCAGCAGCAAAAAGGTAATAAATAACTGTCTCTAGTCATCTGTAGATAGTCTCCGCTTTCAGTTCTGAAATTGCTCCTTTGAGTATTTTTAGCTCTCTGAATATTATTTTTAAGATAAATTTCCAGATAATTAAGCCAAGTTACAATTGGAAATAGTACTGAAATATCTTTAATGTTATTCACACTAGATTAATTAGCCAGGATTAATGTTGTTGCAGGAAATCCTAAAGCAGTGCGAAATTAAGGCTGCTATTTTCTTGCATCTGTAATTTGAAGTTCGAAGCAGGAAATGTTTACTTAGGGATTTTGGTATCATGAAAATGAGTTTTCATATCAAATTAACAGAAGAAACAATTTGCTTTAAGGGCATTACAGTACAGCCGTAGTGCCCTTTCATTTGATTCCTTGGCTGGTTTGTAAACAATTATGATTTTTTTCTTCCTGTGCCTTAATTTTTAAAATACATTTTCAACTGTGACACGCAATCAGTGACCCCTTCTCCAAACAAAAGCAGTTAAAACCATACTTGTCTCCATCGTAATATTTTCAACTGCCTTTCAGATTTCCCGTCCAAAATTAAGTCACTAGTCTTAACTAATTGCAGCAGTGGTACTTGGCAAATTCTATTGTACTCAGTGGTTGTAACTTGGGGTTAAAAATTGGATTTAGGGTTGTGTTCTTACTTTGTCTGCTTCTTTTTAAATTGCTGGTTCTATATTTGTTGTTTGCTTGTCTAGCCTCTGCCCAGTGTCTTCATCTGTGGTTCTTTCACAATGAGTCATGCCTTTGAATGGCAAGTGACTATACAATTCCTTGATTTCCTTTGCCAAATCACTTTGTCATTATTTTCCCCCTCTGAGGATGAGAGTATTCATAGAATGTATTTACCATGAACATCTGATCTTATAAATAAGAGGTGGGCAATTACCAAGAGTATGAGAGCTACATGCAGGATCACAGCGGACTCTACTGCCCACTGAACTTCACCTACCCTTGAAAATTAAAATGGGGCTATGGGGTCCTGGGGATATAGAAAGGGTATGTCCAAAAATGCATCATTTACGGAAAATGAACTGTATATGATTATTCATGCAGATTTTCTTATATTGAATTTTCAAAGATTTTGCGAAGGCAACATTATCTTTGTTCATAATAATATCCCTGTTTTCTGTGGCTAGAGAAGTGGGATAGACTTGTGAGAAAAATGTTTCTTTGAAAGCATGAAAACCCTTACTGCTAGACCCACTTAAACCATTGTTTCATCAGTCTTTAAGAATAGGAAAATTATGTTCTCAGTAGCTTCCATGATGTTATATGTTAGCTAACTGTTTTCAAGAAGATAAAAATTTATACAGTTACATGTTAGCCAGTACATAGTGACATTCTCTTTTCAAAATAGTTCTTTCTGTGTAACTATTGTAATAAGAAAAGGAAATGAACGATGCTAATCTGTACAAATACTACAGAGCAGGATGGGAATCATGTCCCTAACAAACTGTAGGTATCCTCATGGCCATTGGTCCCTCTGCCCCAACTCTTTTGTCTTTTGATCATGAAACTGCAATTCCTGAAAGGAACAGTGATTATCTTCTAGAGCAGGGTTTCTCAAAGTGTGGTTCTCTAGATGTTTTGGACTTCAGCTCCCACAATTCCTAACAGCTGGTAAACTGGCTGAGATTTCTGGGAGCTGAAATCCAAAACACCTGGAGGAGCACAGTTTGAGAAACACTGCTCTAGAGTTTTGGGAGAGCCCTTACCCTCACTTCCCCCCCCCCAAAAAAGCCAGAAATGGGGTTTAGTTAAGGGGTTTAGGCACTAGTGTGAGTTAAATTGACCCCTTAATCTTCTTAAGTTGTTTATTAGGTCTTTAAAAACAAACTTCACTGAACTAGCTTTTCCAGTTAATCTCCAAAGCAATTGATGCAAGATAATATATGAAGTATTTATTAACAGTTTATATATTCTACCCTTCTCACCCCAAAAAGGATCCAGGGCAGAACACAGAATGCATATACGCAAACATTCAATGCAGTTATACACTGACAGTACAGATACAGTACATAGAGGTATATAGGCTTTTCCCATCTTCAGCGTCTTGGAAGTTGTGCTCAATTTGGGATGGGGGGGGGGATGCTGTCGTTTCATCTTCATGCCGAAGAGCCCTGTTCACAGACTTCCTCCTTTTGATCAAATCACCAGCATTTTTCTGGTATTTCCTTATGGTGCCATTAAAATACCTCCCTGCTAAGCGGTACCTATTTATCTACTCACCGCTGTTTTCAATCTACTAGGTGGGCAATGAGCTTGGCTGAAGGAGAAACTATCTCATTCTTAGAGAACTTCATGTTGCAGATTGAATCATAGGGTGAAAACCTATAGCTAACTGAAAATCCTTGCTGGTTGTACATATAGTGAAATCAGTGTAGTTATAGATATTGTACAGTTTATGACATAGCATGCATAAGTACATGGAATTAGACTGAAGATGGTCCACCTACCATAAATTCTTTATGCACTGAAAAAATATACTATGTTCAGTCTGATCTGTCACAAGTTTTGGGATTGGGCCATGTCTCAGAAGTCAGAAGCAAAAGGCCACAAATTCAGACTCTGATAGATAGGACTGAGAAATATTTCTATCTGAAAGTTAACAGAAGTGCTGTCAGATATTACAAACCAACTAGGTAGAACATTGTTCCAGCTCAGAACAAGCTCCTGTCATATTTGATGATACACTGGTATGTATATGTAATTTCTGAATCATTGACTTTAACATAAACATAAGAAACTGAGATACACCCTCCTTCCTAATTTTTAATGGAACTTTTTGTAGTTCTAAATTTGGTGGCTCTAGGGAAATATTCTTAATCTGCGTTTGAACTAGCTCATCCCTGACAATTTTAATAGTAGAGTCTGTAATTTGTAATTCACCAACTCTAGGCAGATATCTGAATTTGAACTAGTACAGATTCTTTCCTTAGGGACCTGGAATATTATCTGGTGAGAAACATGCATTGGATTTAAAAGAAATGCCAATGAATACTTTCCAGATTTTATGTGTGGAACTCTTTAATTCTTACTTAAAGATGTATTGATTACAAATGGTCCATACATCAAATGAGATCAAGTATAAAATGTGACAACAGTTTATTATGGCGTTCATGTGGAAAGAGTGAATCAAAAAGCTGAAGTTTACCCACAAGCATTTTACAGTGATGTGGGATCGAATTGTGGAGAAGAAGCTCTTACGCTGGTCTGTGGGTATTCAAGGGGGGAAAGGGACAAATTTGGATGATTGTGCTTTTTTACAAAATCAAATCAGTGTGTGGATGGAATAAAGTCATAATGATGTTGTTGTCTTGAGCCTATTCAATTTCAGGATATCTGTGATGTGGGCCTTCCATATCTCCATATAAATCCATGTGTGACCTAAATCTTCTTTATCTGTCCCTCTCAGTCTCTTGACTTTTCATTTGTGCCTTTAACCCAGATTGGCCAATATTCTCCCACGGCAAGGGAGAATATTAGCCAGGCTGGCTAAAAGAAACGCAAAAGAAAGTCAAAAGAAAAATCTAAGACTATAGTTTGATATCAAGAATTGGATAGAAGTAAAAAAAAATGTTCCAACTTTTATTTTCTCACATCTCAGAATGCAAGTTCTGTCTCTCTTATCTAAAATGCTTAGGATCAGAAGTTTTCAGATTTTGCATTTTTAAAAGATTTTGGAATATTTGTATTTGCATATACATAGTGAATGGGAGATCAAGAGAAATGGGCTAGCAGCATGCCCAGCACCCATGGCCTTGATGGGGGAAGGAGAAGGGAGGAGTGGGGAAGACTCACACAAGACACATGTAAAAAGCTGGTACTTCCTTGAGGATGAGCACACTTTCTGCTCTTCGAACAAAGTAGCCAGAAAGGGAGGGGTTTTATTCCATTCTCTTTAGGATGGCATCCAATGTGGTTTCTCTATGCTCACCTTTGGGGCCTGTTTTCTGGATGTTCACCCTGCTGCACACTACCATTGGCTGGGTAGAAGGCAAGTGTGGGAATATTTGAGACATCTGCTTTTTCCAGAGGAGTACTCTCCGCCTTCTCTCTTTTCTTTTTCCTCTGCCAGGGCTCTTTGAGGAAGAACTCAGTGGGTGCTACACATGTGGCTAGCTCCCGTTCCCCAAAGGCTCAAGTGGGCAACTAGCTGCAAAATATTCAGTTTTTGGAATGTTCCCGGAGAAGTGGAACTCAGTTATAAATATGAAATAGGTGATTATTATAAGAAGTCTAAATAATTTCCTGGGTCCTTCCAAAAGGAAAAATCCCACTGACATCTGTGGGACAATCTTGCCAATGCAATACTTCATTGTCATCCATCTTCTTATTGCCCAAGCAAAAGGAGTTGCATTATAATCTTGATTTCACCTTGGTGTGGACTGTACTGATTATGCCAGAATAGTACCTCATGGTAGGACAGAATTTCTCTGGGTTATGAAATGATCATAATTCCTTTCCTTGTGTGCTATTGAGACTTGCTTTTCAAAAAAAAAATCCACTTCTACATAACATTGCCACATTTTCATGTCATTATTTTTGGTAACTTGTGTTTTGTTAGTATCTACAATGATTGGAGAGTATTGACTTCTTTTTTGCCTGATATACTGTTAAGATAGTTGAAATGTCTGGTACTGCAAATCATGGTGCATTATTACTCATTTTATGTGTCTCTTTCTGTATAATTTATACTCTCCACATCATTTTTCCTTTTTGCTACTCTTCTCTTGTATTTTCTGTTTGTCTTCTGTTCACCACAACTGTTTTTTTTCATTTTTAAAAAGTTTTAAAACAAAAACATCCTGAGATGTCTACATACTTAGTTTAAAGTTATGTATGAAAGTGCTTTGCAAACTTTTTGTAGAGCTCTTACCATAGAGTTTGCTTGACTTGTCCCAATACTTGATCAAGGAACTGTAAAGTAAGTTCCTTAATCCTGCTTCACATAATATGCTGATTGCATGAAATGTATATGTCTTGCATTGTAACTTTTTGTAGATGTTCTTTGTCTTTACATTCTTATTTTACTGCATTCACTTTTATTCTGCTTTGTTTATGCACTTCTCATTCATGGATTAAGCAGGTCTGTGAATCTTCTCAATGCATGCAAACTGAAAAAAACTCCTTTAAGGTGAGGGATTCTTACTTATTGGTGTCTGTGTCCTGTCATTAATGATGAAATTAGCATCTTGCTGTCTTAATAGTATGTAATCCTAACCAGCTCCTTAACATTTACTTTAGGAAGTGAAATCGCATTTACTTTTAGGACATATTAACATTATTCCCTCTGTGCCTATCACTAACCTTTCCTGCTTCTTGTTAAAGATTCTTTGATAATCCATATGCCTTTGTTCATGATGTTCAGAGTATGTAGCTTGTATTCTTAAAATTGCGTCTTACCTGCTGTCTTGTTTGCAGGCTTCCTAGAACATTTTAGCTAGTTTTCCACGCAAATCCTAGATGCATGTCGTTACTAAAAGAAAATGCATGGTCCAGTCAGAGTGCTCAAATATGCCTTTGAATTTACTCAGAAGAACCAAACTTAGGAAAGTTCCCTTTTCAAACTGAATCCTAGGATGCATCTACACTAGGGGGTAGTGCCAAGATACAGATGGCATTGCCTCATAAACTTAAATGATCTTTTTCAGAAAATGTGGCTATTTCCCCCCATTTTCCTTCTGTTTTCAAAACCAGGATTTAAAAATCTAGGAGATAGTATTTCTCTCTCTTCCAATAAAATCCATTACACATTTATCTTCCTTCCCTGCAGGAGTTCCCTTTTGTGAGCTTTTTTCTTTCTATGAATCAGTATTTTTAAAATTGTTCCTTAATTGATCTCGGAGGACAAAACAAGGAAAGTTCAAGGGTACTTTGAAATTGCCTGCTCCCACCCTTCAATTAATAAAACACACCGTCATTTTTTTAAAAAAAATGTTTACAGCTGGAAGATGACAGGAAAGGAACTTGGGGAGCAAGTGATATTGAAAGGAATACTGTATATTATTAGGTTGAGAATTGGAGAGGGTGTCATTCCAGTGGATCTTTAGTTGTTGTTGGTGACGTGTTCAAGGAGGGAGGGTTTTGCTGAAGATGAGAGCAAACGACACCGCATGTGGGAAGCAGCTGCGCACATGAACAAGGGAGAAAGACTGGAAAGAAAGTGACTGGTGTGGCAGTGCTCCCATTCTTTCCATCTCCCGCTGCTTCAAACAAATTAGTAGCATTCCTAGAAAGCGGGGGGGGGGGGGGGGGGGGGGGGAGAGAGAGAGAGAAAATCTTGTAGATGGCATTTAGAATGAGAAAACTTATGACTGTGTGCCAGGAATCCACAGGGGTTTGGGGTAGCCATATTCAGTTGCTGGTAAGGTGCTTTTCCTTGCTGGGCATCCTTGCTTGCCAAAAGACCAAAAGGGGATCTTTCCCCTCAATTATTGGTGAGTGGATTTGTTGAGGACATCTATTTGGACTAAGGACATTGTGAAAAATTAAATGGAGAAATTCTAAATGTAGGTGGCACTTTATAAGAAAGTTCCAGTTCAGCAGGGTCTGTCTTCATCAAATCTCAAGTACACACCTTGGCTCCTTTTATTACTAACTTCAGTCCCAGCTGAACACTTCAGTAGTCAAGCAGCTTAATGGGAAAGAATGTAAGCAGTGCTTTAGATCCCTTTTGCAACCTCCTTTCTTAAAACAGCAAGGATTTAATTTACAGGTTCTAGACTCTTCAGTGAGAAAAATGTTGTATAACACACTTCTGCATGTTCCTCCATTTTTCCAAAGATGGGTTAGTAAAATCAGCTCAAAATAGATAATTATTTGTACTCTGGAGAGACTGATTTGTTGGCTCAGAATAATACATAATATGCATAAATGGATACCTTTGGTTTTCTGTTAGCACTGTCAAAAGAACCAACTCAACTGAACGAGTGTCTCCTGGAGGTCGAAGAGAAAGCTATGGAGATTCCAAAGGCACCCGCAATCGAGCTGGATCCACAAGCAGTTCATCAAGTGGTAAAAAGAACAGTGAAAGGTAAGGTTAGCTTTTTTAGCAGTTGATTTTATAAAAATGTTGAATTCCATGTATACTTTACAGATGGATACAAAGAAAAATAAGTAGGAAAAGTAACAATATGAGGCTAACTGGTAATGCATGCAATGAATGCAGTTACAGATGAGGATAATGCAATAATTTAGGATAGAGATGCCCAAAGAACCTATCACAATTGTATCAGACATAGGAACTAGCCTATATCCATTCCTGCTCTTCTTGCTTGTTACTCTCTTGTTGGGGAAAAGGTCTTGCTTTAGGAAAGGCAATTGTGAGAAGTTCCAGTGAACCTAGCAGAAAGGCCTGCCCTGCTAATTGGAAATGATGTGTTCAGTATCTTCATTAACCAGAAATCATCCTTATACACACACACCGCTTTTTCTCTCTTAAAGAGACTCTGAGTGGTGTGATCAAGCAAATCGTTTTTCAGAATGCTTGCACAACCCCTTGATTTGAATATCTAAGATTCTGGTGCACTCCTACTCTCAATTATTTATTTTATTTATTTACAGCATTTTTACCCCGCCCTTCTCAACCCCCCCCCCCGGGGGGGAGGGGGGCTCAGAGCGGCTAACAAAGGTAGCAATTCGATACCACAATCAATAACACAGTATAAAACCATAAATACAGAGTTAAAACAGTAGCAATTGTCATAACAGTCATTAAAAACAATACTCAGATACCTAGTTAGACAACAGTTACGTCTACACTCATTTGGAAGTAAATTCCATTTAATCTCAATAGAAAACATGCATAAGAAAAGGAAAAAGGTGAATATTGAGAAGGGATTACAAAGAGGAAAGAAGCATGTATGATACCATATATGTGTTTGAAAGATGTCTCGGCAGAGGAGACTGTAATTTGAAATAAGAACAAAGATTATATCAGGTGAGGCCATGTAGAACATTACGGATGAGGACAAAGAACTTACAATAGATACAGAAGAAGGTGGAAAACTATGCCTGGGGCTGAGGAAGGGCATCACATAGACTTAAAGAGGAACATGTCATAATTTTTGCAGTCAAATTTTTGATGGAAAAGAAATGACTATGATGTGATGCAGAAAAATGAGCAAAGACAGTGGTAAAAAGACTGTGAAACACAGGAGCTTAAAAGAGCTGACAAGACTAGAAGAAGAGACAAATGTACCCTACAGTTTTATGTAAGACCTGACTTGACAACATGGTGAATATGAGATGCAAAGAAGAATAAGCAATTTTTGTCAACTAGATATTATAGATAATCAAGGAAAGGAGAGCTTGGGAGGAAAGTTAAGATGATCAAACTTTTTTAAAAGGTCTTTCTTTATTATATTCACAGCAAGCCTAAGGAACCTATGTTCAGTGCAGGTAATTGTTTTGATTTCTCTATTTTTGCATACAAAAATGTTTTGGGAATATTCTAACCTTTTTCTAATAATGGGTATGAGAGTTTTCAAGAATCTAAGCTTTCTATAGAGATAGCTAGTCAGCACAGCTGACAAGTGGTTGCTATTATCATGAATTAGTCTGCTTTATATCTATTAACAAACAGCGATACAGTTAAACATAGGGCTACACCATTTAAATATATCAGACTAGCAAGTTTATAGAATTGCACTTGTATTTTTTAAATTTTAACTCCTTATTTTAAAGGAATTTACAGGATCATTCATTGTTTTTTGATTTTAGGCATGAAAAATGAATGAATGACTTGGTACTTGATGTATTCAATTTAAAACTAAACAGTAGTGGGGGAAGATTACCTTAGTTTATGGCCTCTGAGCTGTTTGAAGGAATGGTGAAAAAGTATATAGTTTTTCCTAAACAGATCCTTTTTGTTATTGATGCGTTATTTCCTTCTTAGTTCTCAGTTAATTGTACAAGGAATGTATATCTAAAAGGTCAACTATGTTGCTCTTTTATCCACCATTTTTTTAAGTTCCCATAGAGAGAAGTCTTCCTTTTTCCTTTGCAATATAAATATGTAGATTGGCAATTCTGAGTGTCCCAGCAGTACACCTCATGTGGGCATTCACCCAACAATTTTGACTTTCATCCTGCAATGGAAGTCGTTGTATGAGATGGTTTAGATATAACACCAAATAGTGATTTTATTATTTACTTTATTGATTTGTTACTCGAAGTATTTCCTCCTGCACTTAATCCTTCACATAGGGCAGTTTGCAAGAGACATAAAATACATTTTTTCTACAATATGGGAATATATATAATACAATCCAGTTTAATAAAAGCAAAACAGAAACATAAAAACAGCAAAATAAACAAACCAGTATGGCATCAATAGCAATACAGGTTGAGTGTCCCTTATCTGGAAATCCAGAATACACAAAAATCCAAAATTTCTCGTGGGTGACTGAGATAGTAATACTTTGTTCTCTGAGAGTTTGGTGTACACAAGGTTTATTTTATGCACATAATTATTAAAAATATTGGGTATGGAATTACTTTTAGGCCATGTGTATAAGGTGTATATGAAACATAAATGAATTTTGTATTTAAATTTGTGTCCCATCTCTTTAGTATCTCATTGTATATATATAAATATCTCCAAATCCAAAACACTTCTGGTACCTCCAAAATGTATCTTGGCTAAGGGATATTTAATCTGAACTGTGTTTTGCAAGCTGTCGTGCTATGTTAAATGCCCCTCCCCTCTCCCAAAGAAATCCCCAAGAATTGAAAATATATTTTGAACCTGGCTTGCAAACCTAGTATTGGATAACTCTTATGTGTATTACATATGAATCTTTTTGTTATTATTACCTGTCTAATCAGTTTTAAATTATGGTGTTCCTATGAGCTAGAGTTATTTAAGATCCCTGGTCTTCAGATGGCCTACTTGAAAAAGAAAATCATACACCTGAACTAGAAATTAACTGCTCGAGATAGCATGCTAGGATTCCTGTGGGAGGCTGAGGAAGACAGCCTGCTAACTGCCCCAGTTGTACTTTGGCATCTAAATTAGAGTTAACATGGGCTGTTGTTAAATGGCAACCAGTCCAGGATCATCCAATTCACATATTGTCCATGTGAGTACATGGACAATGTTTCATAGTGCTTGTGTGAGCAAACAATGGCATTACCTGAATGGTACGTAAAAGAATATAGCTGGGGTATCCTTAGCACAGGGATTTAGGTGACCCTGACTGTTCTTGAATGCATCTTTATCTAGCACTTCTATCTCTGTCTCTGTAACCACAAGGGAAGCGCCGTGTGACACATTGCAAAGGTAGGTAGGCCTTGCTTCTGAAACCTCATAGCTCTCTAAGCAAGCCTATTGACAGGGCCAAAGGAGTTTGGTCCCAAAGGCAACATGTTCCCTGTGATGGAACAATATTAAACAAGTTCATCTTCTTCTCATCGAAGTTTTTCCAGGGCATCTGCAGGTTTCTGTGCCTCTGGAATGTATTGGTAATGAATTTTTCCTTAGATTATTTATTTATTTATTTATTTATTTATTTATTTTTGTACATCTAGTCAAATGAATGGCCATGAAAAAATGGAAATGTTAAGAGAGCTATATGGCAACACATGAATGTCTCATTGTGTGCTAATAGTTGCTTCGCAATTTGGCTGAGAAGCCCTGTGATAGCTGCTGCTCTACATAGTTTGTTCAGATAGCCTCTAATGCGTATTTAAAGGAGCATTTTGTTCTAGAATGGTATTGCAGTGCTTGTTCACTTCCTAAATTGTCTCTGGTAGATCATAGATTTAACCTGAGTTGGCAAGAAGCAAATTGCAATGGCTAACAGATAATTCAATGCTCTTAATACATTGTGGTATTTTCAAATTAGAATTAGTGAATGTACAGTGTTGAGAGTGCTTCTTAATCACTAACATATAACCATGCTGTAATCTTTGCATAATGTGTTTCTTTTATGATTTTTTTTAGATTAAATAGATTTGTATTTGTTTAGAAAAATGATTTATTCCTATTTTTTCTCATTCATCTGCTGCATTTTTCATTTTATGTATTTAAACTTTAATCTGAAATTTTGTTTATAGTTCTATTATTTGAGAACAAATTGTTAAACAATTCACATGTAAATTTAACACTGCAGCCTGTTCTGGAAGTAACCTGAGGGCTTTATTCTAACAGCATTCAGTACTATCTCCTGAGTGCTGTTTGCAAGCTGTTATTGCCTTGTTATAAGAATACTGCACTCATGTTCACTAAGGTTGCTTTATCCTTGAATTTAGTGACTTCACCTCTTTAAACTGATACCTTTATTGAACTCTGTTATTCTAAAACACTTGCCATCTGTCATTCTTTCTTTGTCTTTGTATATATGTGTAATATGTCTGTGTTTCTGTTCAAAGTGATTAGTGCATGCCACTGTTCAGATCAGCCTATCAGAACAGTATTAAAACACACACATACAGCACAAGCCATATATTAATCTGGTTTCATATGCCTGATGTCAAAAAGTGGCCTGGATGGTGATTCTGGGTATTAACCTGGAAAAGAAGTAATATATAACATTAGCATATGATATAGCAAATTATGAGTTCTCCAGAACAAAGTGTACACAGGTCAACATTTTGGTTCCAAGGATCGGAAACTTATGGCCCTCAAATTGTTGTTGGTCTGTAATGCCAAATAGCTCTAACAACCACATCTTGTGGTAAGGTAGTTGTATTGCTTTACCAGCTGGAGGAGCACACATTGCCCATTAAATGTTTATATCAGCATAATGCCTTGAACAGTACAGGTATAATATGATAATTAGCAGTGCTCTGTGGGAAAGCACTTGCCAAATCCATCTAATGCTTTTACGAAGCTTTACTTGGAGGTAATTTTTAGTATGTGAATCTGGCAATATTTTGAAAGGCAGTTCCTTTCAGTGCTGGATGCATTTAGTGCATATGTATTCAGTTATATATGAGTATATAACATATTCCTGAAGAACTGTGGGTAATAGAGATGAATCTTGAAGTCAATTCCTGAAATCACATGGACTTCTTAAAAAGTAAGACTTGAAAAAGAGAGAAAGAAACAGAAATACATTCAACTCTTCACATTAATTATGGTTGGAGTAAAAGGACCTCTGTGAAAATAAACAAGTGTGAATGTGAAAGTACTATTTTTATAAACTCAGAGAACATCTCTCTAAGCATGTCCAGATCTTCAACCATAGCTCTATGATATCTGTAGGTCCTCCAACATAATTCCAAAAAGCAACTTTTTTCAAAACTCTAAAAAGCAAAGCTTGTTTTTGCCACGGTATATAAGGGGCAGCATTTTATTAGGCCATTGTGTATAGTGGAATTGCGTGTCCACAAATTTCAGTTTCCACATGGGGTCTTCACTGTACTAACTAGCCTAGTAAACCTTTCATGTTTTTAAAGTATCTCTGACAATTGTATCAAGTGTAAAATACATATTTTCACTTTGATACAGTTGTTAATTTGGTAGTTTTGCTATAACAAATAATTTGCTAGGTTTGCTATAACAAATAACACTAATCACTGCAGCAACTGTTAAACTGTTACTAGCTGATAAGCCTATAGAGTGATAGTGGTATTCAGTGAATTCTGATAAAAGCTGCACTGATCATACTATACATTTTGTAACATCATTCATTAAAATAAAGCCATGTTTTAACTTCGCCTTTAAAGCAATGGCTTTTATTTAATGGTGCTTGAAAATCCTTCATGATACTTTCCTACTGATTTTCTTAATGTTATGACTTCTGCCCTTCCATTTTTTTTCTATACCCACGATTATTTCATCCAGTAACTCTACTGATGTCATTGACTCCAAAACTGCTTGATTCGGAGGAAACCAAGGCTGGATCCCTTGATCTGCCGATGGAGCTGCAGAAGGCAGGAAGTTCTGACTCTCGAAAAGCTTCACCAGCTGTATCCAAGATACCTCCTTTGGCATTGCCATTTCCCAAAAGTTCTAGCCAGAATATAATGTCATTTCCTAGATCACCTAGTTTTTTAAGCCCCATGAAGTCCCCAAGTCAGTACTTTCAGATCTGCTATTAAATTTAGTTCATCTGCCTCGGTATCTCAATTATAACAATACCAGCTAGTGTATTTCTGGTGTTAAGCATGCTTACTCAAATCATGTCAGCTTAATTCTGATCTGTAATTCTTTTGTGTGTTTCTTTTCTCTGTGTTATCATTTGTTGCTCTTTATGTTTTCAAAGTCTAGCTATTTTACTTTATTTTGCATGTTTATCACCACAGTATGTTTCCTAACATCTTGTCATTATGTTTTCAGTATGTCTTTAACAATATGCATAAAGTATAAAGTTTATCTTTACACTAATATACAATCAGTGTTGACAGTTTCAGATGCTAATACCCAGATATGTAAATAACCAATCTAACTTAATAAAAGAATTTTGAGTAGCATTTCTGTGTTAATTGTAATCTTTGGGATCTTTCCTCCGTTGGGTAGAATGTTATACTTCCATCCAGAATACTATACTTTCTCTTTCCAATATGTGGAATTCATTACCACTTGGCTGCGTGGGTTATTTTACTTTTCTAAGGAAAACTGAAGCAGAGGGGAATTTGTGTGTATGTAATTGATTATGTGAGGCTTTTGTTGGTGGAAAAAGCCCATTCCTCCTAATATAACTTTAAGATGTCATTAGGCAAAATACTACTGGGTTGGGATGGAAGAAGAATGGAATATGTGACTGGTACTGCGCTTGTAAACCTTTATATTTCTGCCCTTCTTATAGAGGAAGGATATGTTAAAATGTTTCTGCGCGGACGTCCTGTTACCATGTACATGCCCAAAGACCAAGTGGAATCTTACAATCTGGAAGCAAAAGCAGAACTACCTACCAAGAGGCTTAAATTGGAATGGGTGTATCCTTTTTAAAATAGTCTCTAGTTAAACTAAGCACTGCTTATTTCTTGTTCTTTTAAAAATATAGTTGAAAGGTTTGCTAAGCAAGCAATGTATTTTGGAAAACTAGTACAATTTTACCAATAAAACAACCAAATGAGTATTAATGACATGGAACTTCTGCTCCACATATTTCTATTATTAAGCGGACCCAGGAAGGTTTCAATTAAATGTAGCCTCAAGGTTTATGTTTCAAACAAGTGAACTATCAGACAATTAAATTAGACACATTGGAGAAAAGTAGGGCGCTATGGTTACTAATTAAAATGTACTTAAACAAGTTTGCTCTTCTGCTGACATATCAAAGGGTATGTATAGCAACTCTATAATTTTGGAAAGACATACGATTATTATAAAAAGTATGATAACTTTTACTGCATTCATGTTGATTATATTTGTTCAAGTGTGGTCAGTACTTGACATATTCTGATTAGAAAGAGAATAATGCTGGTTCTGCACTTTTATTTGTCTTAGAAGTTTTTTTCTTAAGTGTGTGAGCTCTGTTGGCCATTCTTTTTGGCACAACTCAAATCCACATAGTGCTGTGTTAACTATATCAGAACTGAGAGTTGCAGGTGAATAACATCAAAAGGATCATATAATTTCCCATTCCCTACTCCAAACACATGAAGCTTCCACATGAAGCTTTTTATAACATTGTCTGATAGAACTTCAATGCGGCTATTTTACACTCTTATCTTGAATTTGTTTGTTGGGTCTCATCCCTGACTGCACAAGTCTCCAGTTCTCAATGAATAGCTAGACTAGATAGGATTAGAGTGAGGGATTCCTTCCTCACATTCCTATGCATGCTTATCCCAGAAGGGGCTCTGTCTTTACTCTCCTCCTTCTCTTGCCACTATCTCCCCCCCCCCTTTGAAGATGTAGCAATGTGAACTTTTTGAGGGATTAGGTAACTTCCTCTTTAAAGGTATTTTTATTGCCCAGGGTTTGGCCTTGTGGTCATTCTCTCCATTTTGACCTTTCTCTTCTGCCTTTGTCTTCCTTTGAGTGAGGAGGCATTTTCCTTTTCCAGACAAAATGTAGCTGCGTGGATACTTCTGTTATTTTTATCCTTTAACCTTCCTTAGAAGAAAACTTAGTAAACGAGTTAGCTCCAAGACCCTTTTCTATCTAGAATGGATTTCTTTTTACTTCAATAAATATATTTTTTGGAGCCTAAAGTTGTCACTCTGCAATCCTGTTCCATCCTGTTGAATGGAAGCTTATCCTGGCTCGCCACACATGAGTTTTTGCTGATTATGAACTGTGCTTCTGGCACTCTGCTATAATTTTAGCGGAATCACCCCAGTGAGGGTTATTTTTGAGCCTGGCAGCTCCGATTTCCAACAGTTTTTATCTGGTTGCTGTATTTTATGATGTTCTGATTTTAATGGTGTTTTTTGTTTTAATGGATGATTTTGCTTTATGACTTGTGGACATTCTATCTCTTATGTAAGCCGCCCTAGTCCCTTCAGGGAGATGGTGGCAGTGTATAAGAATAAAATTGCTATTGTTGTTGTTATTATTATTATTATTAGCTGTTTTACAAAGCAAAAGGGTTTCATTTTTTAAATAAAAGATCTGAAACTCTTGAAGTTCACTTCATCTGTATCTCGGTTGATGGTTCACATTTCCATAACTGAACTAATCATTTCATTTCCTGTTCTCTATTACCAGTTATCCTTTGAATCATGAGTGATCTGTATGGCTAAGCAAGTATCTTGCAGTAGTACAATAGATCTTATAGCATGCATAAACTGGCCACAGAAATAACTATTCTTAGTCTGCTAAAAGTCAGTTTTGTTGAAAGCTGGAACACCTTGCATCTATATCTGAAAATGTAGGTGAACTACGGAAACATATCTGATTTGGAATCATGCTTTCTTATTTAGGTGCCTGTGTTCTGTTTTCAGTGTTTTGCATTTCTTTTAAATATTCTTTTAGGGTGTGTAAGGAAGGGGATCAGTAATGCAAACATCTACTCAGGTATATTGTCTGACCGTTCCCATAGTTGTAGAAAGAGGCGCCTTCAAACATTCTCTGGTTCCCTGTTGTTCATTGTAAAAATTAGGAATATAAAAACATAATGTGGAAAGCAGCTGTAGAAAGCAGCTGCAGTTTAGGCACTAAGCTTTTTAATTGTTTGGATCTTATTTCATGCTGATTATAGCAAAATATGAGCCGACCTAGGCCAAGTCTTCCTTGCCAACAACAATGCAGTATCTTGTCAAAGAGCATGCTGTTGCTTCATGTTTAGTGGAAGACAATATATCATAGATCAAATAATACAATTTTATAGCTTGATTAACTCCTATTATTTCATTAGATCTACCCAGGATTTGTACTTTGGTAGCAGAATGAGATTCTGCATAATTGTTTTTTAAAAAAATACACAGTGCATCCCCTCTTCAATCTTGTTTCCATCTGGCTAGTTAACACTAAGATAATGAAAGCAATCATCCAGAGCCAGCAATAATGAAATCAATCCTAGTAAAATGAGGCAGAGGGATATATTAGCTGACCTACTGGAGATCTTCTCCAGCCAGATGATACCTTTGTTTGTTTGCAGATTCACTTGAAATATTAGTTTTGTATTTCTTTACTCTCCCTATTCTGAATCCTCAAATATTTCAAAACAAAAACATTGTGACTTATTGCATCAGACAGCATGAGGTGGAAGAATAGCAAACTATATGTTTTGAAAGTACTAAAATGGAAGAATACTCAGCAGTCTTGTAGTCCCTTGATGTTTCCTGCTGTTCACCTTTTTAGCTAGCCCACAAATACTGGAAAATCTCCAGGCTCTTACTCGAAACCAGAGCCTTTCCAATTGGCATATTTGCACATCTGCTAATTTGGGGTGTGAGAGATGGCCCATTCCCTATGTCACTTGAAACTGAATTCACATCAGCCAATAGGGAGAGCTCTGAAAAAGAACACTAATCAGTAGACCTGAATTACCATATCATGTTTGTTGAGATACGGTTAAACCATTGTAGGAAAAGTATGTTTTTCTTTGAAGAGGTGTATAGCTTCTTGATAGTCAACCTGGAGATAGAGCAGGGTCCAAACCTCTATCCAGGATTTGTTGCAGATGACACTAGTGATTCCTGAGAAGTAAACTAGTGAACAAAACCCCAAGAATCTGGAAACATCTATAATTGTGAATTGTACAGATCCAAAAGTTTCACACTGAATGTCACTTTAAATTTTGAACAGTTAACAACTTAACAAAGATTCCAGATATGGCTATAGGGGTCGTGACTGTCGCAGTAATCTGTACCTCCTACCAACGGGTGAAACTGTATATTTCATTGCATCTGTTGTTGTATTGTACAATGTTGAAGAGCAACTTCAAAGGCATTATACTGGTCATAATGATGACGTGAAGTGGTAAGTTTTAAGATTAATCACTTGGAAACTAGTGAGGAAAACAAATGAAATAAAGAACACAATTTGTATCTTATAATGTATTAGGTTTTAAATAAAATATAAGAGGAATGCCAGCAGAATCAGCATCATCAATCTTTGTTATGGTCCAAAGACCCAATTTGCTCTGCAGGAAAAGTGCATATCAGATTCATAAATGAGTGTGATTCTGGATGCATATGAACATGGATAAAAACACTGGAAATATATACAAACCACATTTCAGCCTGTGTCTAATACAGGAAGTTGTCTTATTCTGGCTACCTCAGAGAGAAACTTGGCAATAGACAAGGTCTCCTGGGTGAAATTTTCACCTAGTAAAAACTTTACTTGGAATTGGACTGATCTATCAGCAAGGTTTCTCAGTAGTGTGTGTAAAAACTGGAGGACAATAAAATGTGATACATACATTCAACATCATAGTTGTTACAAGGGCAAAGTCTTGCATTGTACGGGACTCCCGCAAATTTGCCTTGAAGCATTTCAGATGGGAACACGTTGCACTTTACCTTGGAGAATAGGCATCAATATTTGCTTCATGAAAATTCCCAGTATAATGTATGTTCAGGGCACTTGGGGAACAAGAAACATATGAGTGGGAATGCAGCTCACAGAAAGCAATGCCCCATAGTCTTTGTTTGATAGATTTAAGTGCCATGTCATAACCCAGATGAGATAAGAGGGAGGAAGAGAGGTCAATAGAAGAGGCTTTTTTAGAGTTAAGCTTGAACCAGTTTTGTAATCATACTGGGCTAGATGGTAAATCAGACCTGAGCCCAGTCTGAAAACATTGACCTTAATCCAATATTTAAGGGCCCATCACCAAGCTCTTTTTGACAAGGAGATTTCCCCAGATTCAAACAGCAAGAGACAGGATGGCACACATCTGGGGAAGTGGAAGAGGACCCTCAAGAACTGTGATTGGTGCTGATCTATCTTAGGTGTTGAGCCACCAATCCAGACCCTGGATGCATATAGCAATTGGGCAAAGCAGCACAAGGCTTCAGAAGCCATGACCCAAATACCAGTCATATGTTCCTATTAAGACCACTTGTCATCCTAGCCAGCAGCCCCTGAAAACAGTTGGAAATCTCCTTGCTTTTATGGCTACAGGCTTTCTAAGTGAGACCTTGGCAATGCTGCATTGATTCATTGGACCAGTTCAGCAAGAATCTATAGCATTTGGATTTATCAATACTTTAGTTTTCCACATTGTTGTTCCTCTGTAAAATAGGATAACAAAAATGAACCCATTCTTATTTGTTTGGTATATATTCATTATACATGGCATTTATTTTGCTAAAGAAAAGTTAAACCAAATGGCCCCATTTGATTCAGTTTTTTTATTTTTCCTGAACAAATTTTAACCTCCTACTACATTTCAGATATGTAACTGAACTGAACTAAAAAGAACTTCCTTAAGACAATCTAATAAGGCCTTGACTAAAATGAGATTTGAACCAGCACATCCCATTATCCAATTTCTATTCTCATTGCCCTCTATGCATGCGTGCAAGAAATAGAACAAAAATACTGTTGCGGCTATACATTTAGTCCTCAACAGTTTACTCTCTTAATGCTATGTTTGTTTTGTGTTGGTAGATACTGTCTGGCATTGGTAAGAATTTGGGATTTCCTATGAAGAATGAATTTTCAAATTCAAATTGTTTTTAGGATAAGAATATAAATTGTAATAACAGACACTGCAGGTTGCAAACTAGTCTATAATGTTAGATAAGGAAGAGTAAAAAATAGCAATGAGCATTTTTCTCCATGTGCATTCCAGCAAAACTTTCAGTAAATATAATGTCCAAAGATTTCTGAGTTCTTAAAAATGATATTATAAACAGTATCTGAAAATACGTTATATGACATAGATGTTTTCCTTTTTCTTTGCAGCCTAGCAGTCCATCCTGACAGGATCACCATAGCAACTGGCCAGGTTGCAGGAACATCTAAGGATGGAAAAGTAAGTCAGCCTATTGCTGAGGCTCAGGATTTCCGACATAGAAATGTGATGTACTGATGTTGTACTATTAAGAGCAGTTGTGTTAAAATTGAAATCCATTTAGCTACATTTTGTAAAGAACCCAAATGTTTATGGCATCTAAGAGTTAAAAAATGATAGGACGACAAATAGTCTTAATGGGAACATATGTACAAGGTCCTGGTCCCAAGTTCTAGTTCCAGCCTAAAACAGTGCAGTTGTTGGATGCAGCATAAAAATCTATTTGCTTTGCTTAAACAAATGTAGTTTTGATACGAATGCTTTATAAAGCATAGCCTGCTGCATGAATGAGAGTATAAATTTGGGATAGCCTAAGGTTTGCTTTTCATTCAGAACAGAGTTTCCATATTAAATAACAATTTCAGGGTAAAGTAATATTTTTTCCTGGGGACTTTCCAGTTGAGAAACTGTGCATCAAAACCTTTCCCTATTTGGTGCTTTTTCATCTTACACCAAGTCTTCTAATGAAATTCTGTTGTCATTAAGAACAAGAACAATTTTTGTTGTCCCATCTGATTCTCATGAAGGTTTGACATGATGAAAACTGTAACTGGCTTGTTTGCAGATAAATTATGTTTTCTGTGAGCAAATATTTTCTCTCAGGCTTTTATCCAGTTAGTTGTTTTAAATTTGTGTTTACAAAGGCTGCTCTCTAGTGGTTCAGAAATACATTGCAGTAAATGTAGTTCTGTCAAACCCTTTTATCAGTTGCTGTAGAAGGGAACTTCAAATGCATATTGCATGTGAACTTCATTAATGATAACTTAAAATTTCTGGAGGTCAAAGTTAAGATTTCAGTAGTGTAAGATTTTCCATGCCTTTGGTTTATTGTCTAATTGATTTATTCCCCATTTTAATGTTGAATTCTTTCATTAAGCGTTTACTCTACCATCATCTGCCCCGCCTTCTACCTTACCAGCCAGCATTGATAATGATGATGGTGATGAGTGTTAATTTTGCCATATTGTGAATGGCAGGTTGTGGTGATTATGGTTATTATTATGTTTTTTATTATTATGTTTACTTAACTCAACTTTCTCTCTCTACAAAAGAGAGTCAAAGCAGCTTACAGAAAAACAAAATGAAATACAATTTAAAACCTAAACATATATAAACATTAAAACAGAATTAAATATTAATGGTATTACAAATAAACAGTTTAAATCCTTTAAAACTGTTTGAAAGAGAATAGCTTGACCAAATCCCTCTAAAACGTTTATGGCAAAGATCAGGTGGTCTACTGGTTGAATAACGAATCCTTTAGTCAACAGCCTAATTTCTTTGCTGTTATAGCACAGTTTAGTTTCTTACGTCGTACCTTGAGATTTCAGGATACAGTAGAATGAATGGATACATTTGGTGAGCTGGCATTTGTGAAAATATTCCAGTGAAGTGTGTGTGTGTGTGTGTGTGTTTATTTATTGTAATCCACTGGATATAGAAATGAAGATATTCTCTCAAAAGTTTCCATGTTAATGATGTGAAGATGTTTTTTATCCACTAATGTACTAATGATGATTCTGAAAAGGCTTGGATTTCCTCACATTCATACACACATCTGTTTAATTACAATGTTTTTATTTGTTCAATTTCAACAGCAACTGCTGCCCCATGTCCGCATTTGGGACTCTGTTACCTTGAATACACTACATGTCATTGGGATGGGGTTCTTTGACCGGGCTGTCACTTGCATTGCATTTTCCAAATCAGTAAGTCAACAATTTTGATGTGTTGTTGAAGTGCTTTTCATGCTTCTCATTGTGAGGATATGATTTTAAAAAGAAAAATAAACAACTTACGGGAAAGCTTCCTGCATTTTTTAAAAAGGTACTCTTGTACTCTTGTACAACTGTTTCTTGTTTCATTTGGGCTTTTCAGGAGATATTACCAATGAATTGCAGAAAATATTGTTGTACTTGATCCTTACAAAGTTCTCAGATCAAAATGAATTTGTTTTGCTCCAGTGAAATCCTACTCTTCACTAAAATGGTTTCAGCAGAATAAACATGGTCCAATAGTTCCTAATATCTTTTTTGTACAGATCTGTCTACTGTGATTCATGACCAATACATTTCCCCATTCTTCCCTTTTCTCCTTAACTTCAAGGTCAGGCAAACCATGTTATGGAATCTATGTGTGTTTTCATCACATGTTTTCCCTGTCTATATATAAAAAACATAACATATGCTTCACAAGTAAAGGAACCCCCTCCATAGCACCTTTCTCAGCTCATTTCACGGTTCTCCTTTGATCTGGGCAATTCAATCCCAAACCCAATTCAGTTCCAAAATATAGGAGCTGCACTGGACAAAAACTACTGGAAGTTGAAAATGTCCTGGGAGGGTCAGGATGATTTTGCTTCTGTCACTCATCCCTTGTACATGCCATTCATAATGAAAATAGATCTTACTTCTACCCTGAGTGTCAATCTGAATTTGAAAACCAACCTAACTGTTCAATTCTATCTTGTTTGTCCCAGGTCTCTCAACCTTTATTGCTCCCTGCACCTGGTTTGACCGTTCAATTTCAAAACCATAAGTGGGGACAGTGGTATCAAACATCTGACTATGTTTCTGTTTTTCAATCTGTGGCAGCATGGAGACAAACCTATCGTGGAGTTTTCTTAGGAAGCTTTCTACAGAGGGAATGTACAATTATTTCCTCTAAAGCTGAGAGACAGCGGTTTTCATTGGCGAAGTGAAAACCCAGGTCTCCTAGATTCTGAGCACTCAAACCAGTATACGACACACTGACATAATCAGACATTTTTAATTACATATGAGTGTTCACATTTCATGTCTTATTTCAGAATGGAGGGAGTAACCTTTGTTCAGTGGATGATTCCAATGACCATGTGCTTTCAGTTTGGGATTGGCAGAGAGAAGAAAAGCTTGCAGATGTCAAGGTATTTTGCAATGCCAGTGTTCAATTGAGACATGCAGAGTTTTCTTGTTGTTGTCCTCATTGTTTAAATATCTTCTAAATATTCCCATGCTTCTGCCCCCCCCCCCCCCAATAATCTTTGCCTCTTTTCATTGGTTCTTTAGAGTATAGAACAATAGAACATCCTTCCTATTTCTGATATTTTTCTTTTAAAAGAGAAGAGTACATGGCAACAACAGCTAGTTTTTTGATACAGTTGTCTTGTGAAGAATTCCTTCTTTGGCTCTGGCTATTCTAGACTTAGGATAAATGGGATTCTGGGAGCTAGTGATCATGGCTCCAGAGGTTTTATCCTGCGTCTTTAATTTTTAATTATTTACTGCAGAAATGCTGTTTTTTCTTACTCACTTTATTAGCATGAGGTGACCAGTTGTATTATTATTACCGTTCCTGTTCAAATCTCATAAGCTGTTGTGGAACAGCTAATTTGGTTGAGTGGCACACAGCCTATTTTGTTAAGATAATAGCCTACCTTTTAATATGAATGTCTTCCCACTTAAAGTATTAAGAAACAGGCTGTGCTGCCATCATCTGGGCAAAGAAGGAAGTCAGGAAGAAGGAGGAAAGAAAAGGAAAATTATTTCGTTATGATGGGAGTGGCAGGATCTGAAGTTTTTTCTCAGAATACTTTTAGTAGGAGTAGTAACAATCACAGTGCACAAGATTTTGGAGAAAACTGTATGCAATATACCAGTAATCTTCTCTCTCCAGTAATCTGAACTCTAGCAAGTTTAACTCAGTCTCTCAGTAAATACTTCCCCGTACTCTGATGTACACTACTGTTGGAAAAGAAATTAAACATATACATGATTGCCACAGACAGCAGGACAACTGAGTGTTTCATTTGGAGTGTGTGAATATTCTTATGTATAGATACACAATCTACAGTCAGTCTTTCACTTTCACTGTTGTTCAGGACACAAAAACCACCCACCCAGCTGGGAAAATGAAAAAAAAAAAACCACAATAAAATGCTACTTTCATCAGAAGTTAACCACAGAATCAAACTAGGAGCTAGAGATTTCTAGAGAGATGTTTTCCCAAGTAATCTTTAGGTCCTTCAGCATGACTCTGTGGTCAGTTTCCAAAAAAGAACACTTTAATCAAATTTGCCAATAACCAAATTTGCAAAAGTAAAACTACAAATGTAGAGAGCCAACTGAATATTTAAATATTTAAAACCTTTGCTTGACACAGTCTACTAATCACAAGATTAATTTATTTTTCTAAGTGGAATTTTTAAGGAGAGCTTGTAAAGCTACTACATAAATAACAAGTTAAATCATGTTAAGGCATGAGGTGTCATCAAGTGATTGGCTTTAAACTATTTCTTTTAATTTAAATATAAAATCCATTGTATATTTAATAATGCTTTCAAAGTGTCCGGAGTTACTCTTGATACCCTTAAAGGGTTGTCTATGAGCTTTATGCCATTTCTGTGTTTTTGTTTATTAATAAAATACTTTTTTTCTTCTTCTAGTGCTCTAATGAAGCTGTATTTGCTGCCGATTTTCATCCTACAGATACAAATATAATAGTTACATGTGGAAAATCACATCTTTATTTTTGGACACTTGAAGGAAATTCTCTCATTAAAAAGCAAGGATTATTTGAGGTAAAGGTTCTGATGTTTTTGGAGCCCAAGAACAGGCTTGTTTGCTTCAAAATTTTAGATACTTCATTCACCCTGTACTGAGTTCCACTTGGTAATAGCGTTGTGGAGTATATTCATCTAATGTGCAATGACGAGGGCACAAGATTACACCAAAATAAAGGGCTGGAAAATGAAGCTCAGTTTTATGTAGCAGCTTCCCCAACTGCAAGCAAAGCATGGATCTATGTGATACCTACCTGGGGTTTAAATGCCCATTTATCTTCAAGCAGTGATTGTATATAGTAGTAGAAGAAGCTTAGCGATGGGGTGAAGATGTCTGTGGGCCAAATCAAGCCTTTGGAGTAGATGTTGCAAATTGAATTGTAAATTTGTATGGGAACTTTAGCATCGTCTCTCCCAGTTTCCTTCTTTGTTCTTTTGCACACTGTTAAGGATATTTGGGTTATAGTGATTTAGTTTTTTTTACTGTGATGTCAAAGTCTATAGAGCTAATCGTCTTTGGAGCAACACTAATTTCTCCCGGTATTTATCTTAGGGTGGAAAAGCAACAATATAATTTCATCATTATTATACAGTACTCTTTTAAAAAGTTCAACTAAAATACTGAAGATATGTACTAAAGATGTAGTTACTCAGTGATATTTATGAATGTGTTAAATGTCTTATGTGCAGAAACAAGAAAAGCCAAAGTTTGTGTTGTGTGTGACATTTTCTGAAAATGGTGACACAATAACAGGAGACTCAAGTGGAAATATCTTAGTATGGGGAAAAGGTAAGAGAGTGACTTTATGAAGCATTAAATGACTCTACATATTGCAGAAATGTGTGTGTGTGTGGTGGTGGGGATCTTCCCTTATATATAGTTTGTAAATAACAGTAATAATACTTTTATGCCAGTAAGACGCGTTTCCTGTCATCCCAATGAAGCCTTGGGCACCAAAGAGATATTTTTAAAAGAATATTGTCTTTCACCCAATCTAAGGTGCCATTAATGCAAGGCACACCATTTTTGAACCTTCAATTTTGAAGAAATGATTTTCTTAGAACATTTTTTTTAGAATTCCTCTGTATGCACAATACCTTGTTTTTGTTTCAGTGTAGCTTTATAGTGCAGTCTTTTCTATAGGCTGTGTGAAGAAACCTGGAAATCTTCTTGTTTACATGAGTCTATTTTATTAACTCTATGGGCCCATTGGGGCAGCAGCTGAAGTAGGAAGCAAGGATTAGCTCAGCCAGACTATAAGCAACCGTCTGGCTGAGGCTAAGGACAAATGTATTGTCTAAATAGAAGACGTTTCATATATTCATACCCATTGCAATATACCTGTTGCAAAATACCCTCCTCCTCTCTCAAAATACAGCACATTTAAGGTGCTATTTAATCTAAGGCACACCTTATTTTGGATCCCCTTAGATTTGGTGAAGTATGGTATTTACTTAATGTCTAAGTGATTTCTTCATTTTCCTAGAAACACTAATATTGCGTTAATATAGAGTCATTGGAGGTGAGTGGTAATCCACATTCTTGTGCCCCTGCAATATCTTCATTAATGGCACGGGGTTCAAATGGAAGCAAAAGGATTAATCCTTATTATAAGTCTTCTGAGCTTCTTGCCTAGATAATAAAATTGGATATGAAGTTATAGTGCTAGGTATGTGAATTGTGATTACCTGGAAGTATATTCCCAGCAAATGGGATATGATGATGATTCGGAGGGAAAAATGGGGCATAAGTGAACAGGCCGCAACAAGGTTAGATTTTAGAGTAAGTTCATATTGAAGGAACATGTCACACACATACCCATGCTGCCGAGAAGACTCATTTGAAACATTTGGTATTCTTCTAGGCAGCAATAGCATGCACCTCATCCATTCCAGTCTTTTCTTTGTACATAGTTTGATAACTCAAACATTTGAGCAGGTTCTATTGATATTTTTAGTTAATAGGAACACTGAAATCCCAAAAGATCACTAACTTGATAGTTTAGATTTCTTAGGCTGGCTTAAACATAACATATAGAGTGCTTCCAGATGAACAATTCCTGGTGCTTCCAATAAAGAAAGATTGTACAGCTGTTTCATCTTTCACTCCTTAACAGATTTTCTGTGGTAAGAAAACAGATAGAAGAAACAGTGGGAAAACACGGGAGGGTTACAAATAGAAGATTACATTGTCTGCACCCCCTGTAAAATTCCATGAATGAGGCAGGGCAGTTGCACAATAAAAGTGGCATCTGAAGGTATTCATAGTCCCAGACCAAAGGTATGTTTCGGTGATGACAGTACTAGAGGAAGAGAAACAGCTGAATGGACAAATGAAATATACTTTTAAAATGTCTTTCCTCCTCATAATTAGGCACCAATAGAATAAGTTCTGCAATTCAAGGGGCCCATGAAGGTGGCATTTTTGCACTATGCATGCTGCGAGATGGCACACTTGTGTCAGGAGGCGGAAAAGACAGAAAGTTAATATCTTGGAATGGGAACTACCAAAAACTTCACAAAACTGAGGTAACAATACCAATCTCTAAAAATTAATCTGGGTGTTTGTTGTTTTGTAGTGTAAATCCCCCAAAGACTTCTTCCTTTATTATTTCTAAAATATTTAACTGTAAGTTTCATGATTAACACATGCCTTAAGGTTAATAAAAATGTGTCATTGGAATGCGCATGTAATATATGAATTTTGAAAAGGTCAGAGTAAACACTTTCAAACTTGCATTAGGCCACCTCAAGATTGGTAAAAAAAAATCTGTGGAACTCCTACATCTTTTTCTGTAGAGTTTTATGTTGTTTTGGAGATAGGATTTTTTTCCATCTTGAAGTATTTCATAGGATTTTCCAGCATTGCCAAAGACTTTATATCTATTACCTGGGTTGCTTTAAATTAACCTAGTACTTCCTTAATTTTTTTTTTCGTGTCAGGAGTGACTTGAAAAACTGCAAGTTGCTTCTGGTGTGAGAGAATTGGCTGTCTACAAGGATGTTGCCCAGGGGATGGCTGGATGTTTTGATGTTTTTTACCATCCTTGTGGGAAGCTTCTCTCAAGTCCCCGCATGGGGAGCTGGAGCTGACAGAAGGAGCTCATCTGCACTCTCCCTGGATTCAAACTTCCAACCTGTCGGTCAGCAGTCCTGCTGGCACAAGGGTTTAACCCATTGCGCCACCAGGGGCTCCTACTTCTTAAATGAAGTGTATCCATTACTTGCATGTATGTTTTACTCCCTTAGAGTGCATCTACACTATAGAATCATGGGACTTAAATTTGGTTTTGAATAGACTCACGTTTGCTCCTTCAGAACCACTGAGGGGGACTTTCTTAAGGATGCCGTCTTTCATAGTTTTATTTTTGGTTGCAATTATTTCTGTAAAGCAAGTCTTGGAATTAGTTGCATTATCAATGCATCCAAATTGATGCAAATTTAAGCAGAATAGATTTGTGTTGAGATTGGATCCCACATTTTTAGCAAAGTGTGTTGAAGAAAGGAATCAAAGATACAGTATACTGACCAAATATGTCTCCTAAACCAAATCATCTGAGCTGAACAAAGGTGGCACACATCAGGGGTGAGGTGAGCAGTTAAAGTCTATTTAAAAGGAACTAGTCAGGTTAGACATACTGAGGCTTTATTTGTGTCTGTCAAGAAAGCATCAGTGGTTTTGTGATGAGACTCCCATCCTATTTGAAGGTTTGGGCAAATCCCAGTTGTAATGGATTGATCCTCCATTGCCATCCTGAAAATGAAATGGCGGACTTCTTGTGAATGTTATTCTGGGATGAGAAGAGACAATCCATGCCCATCATCAGGACATTAGGCTATAGGTGAAGTATAGATTAGGAATATGGTTTTGGTCAGGGCTAGATAATTAAACTGATGAAGAAGAGAAGACATCTAACAATAACTGAAAAGAACCTGGGCTCCTGCTTAGTCAGGTTGTCAGTATCCACTCAATCACAGTAAATTGCTCCTTTTGCCATCCCAGCACAAGCATTTTGATTATACATCTCAATTTTTTAAAGTTCAGTGGATCTTGGGGAAAGCCAGTTTCTGAAATGTTGTGCAAGATGGGATGTAACATGTGATCGATGGAATAGGAGGGGGAGACGCAAGGGAGAGCGACAGAAAGCCAGCATATTTAAAGAGAGGACTAGATGTGCACCCTGCAATTTGCAGGGGCAAGCAAAACAAAAACATTGGAAACGCTTTTTAATTAGAGACTGTGCCATTGGACACTTGGTCAACATACCCATTTGCTTAGAGATTACATTTTTACACCATGAATCCCTGCCTGAGGAAAGGACCTAAACACAAAACTGCATATTATCATACAACAGTGAATTTCAAAGTGTGATACATTTGAGCTGTTGTTCTCTTAGATAAATTATGCTGTGGAATATGTTTACAAACTAAAATGCAAATGCAGTTATGGGTGAGAGATAAAATTATACAGTTTGGATTTCTAGCTAGCTATCTTACAAAGAAACCACCAACATTTTTATATCAGTGCAGTAGAAACTATACACTTGAGAAATAATTCTGTTGCAATCGAATGTATTATTATGACCTGGATTATGTGATTTTAAATTGTTGTGCTAATGTGATGGTTTCACTGGTTGGTTTTAATGTGTTGTTTATTTATTGATTATATGTGTAAACACGGCATAGAATTCTTGACCATGAATCCCCTTTGGGGTTGAGAAGGGTGGAATATAAGTGTGGTAAATAAATAAATAAATATTAATTCACTTGTTAATTTTAAAAATAGATTCCGGAACAGTTTGGGCCAATAAGAACAATAGCAGAAGGAAAAGGTGACGTTGTATTGATAGGCACGACTCGAAACTTTGTTCTACAAGGCTCCCTTTCAGGGGACTTTTCTCCTATTACCCAGGTAATTTCCTCCAAATTATTTAAAGAAACAACTTTACTAACATTATTATCATTATTATATTCAAATATCCAAGTTGTAAATGTTTTGGAACAACTAAGGGTCTTTTCCTGCAGGAGTGCTGAGAACTTGTTGAATGACCCTTTTTTCTTTTTATTAAACAATGTTTATATTGGCACTGTTAATACTGTATGTATCATAATATAATATCCATTGATAATATAGTTTACATAGTAAAATAAACTAGAAAATATTAGACTTGATACAAAAGTACCCCAAGACTCTGATGCAGTTGTTAGAATAGAACCTACATTTTAACTGAAGGGGAAGAAAGAGAGGATGGCAAGGACAAGGTGATGAATATCAATAAATGGATGTAGATGTACACATCTAAGCTTCATTTCGACTAGGGAGTACAAAATCAAGGATGAAACAAATGTATGAGTTGTGTGCTGACGAATTCCCATTTGTACAAATAGATCAACCAATTGGGCATTGATAGTTGTAGTGAGCATGACCTGTCTGGTCTGGAGGTTTGTCATCATTCATAGAATGATGCTGCAGAGCTCAGGCAGGCAGAGAATGGTACCATAAAGCTCATGGGAGTTGTTCTCCTTCTTCTTGGCCCGGATAAACAATTATTGTTATGCCTTGAAGTCATTTCTGACTTATGTTAACCCTAACACAACATTATCATGTGATTTTTCTGGCAGAATTTGTTAAGAGAAGACTTGTCTTTGCCTGAGAGGGTGTGATGTGCCCAAGGTGACACAGAACTTTCCATGGTTGAATGGGGATTTGTACCCAGTAACCTGGGCCAGCATTCAAACCACTATACAGTGCTGCTTGAACTATAATATAAACTCAACTTGGTTCTGATAGATAGTTTGTGAAATCATCAACCTAGGTGTGAGAAATAATCTTCTCCTCAGTGCTTCTGGAATTAGGGGAAAAAACTTAAAAGATGGTTTCAAAATTATTTATAGACCTGACTGGTTTTGATGCCACACAAACCATGATACAGGTTAGAATGCAAGGCCCAGTATCCATGCCTGATTTGCTTAACTGATTGCATCATTAGGCAGAGCAGAGTTGGAGAAAATAGGCTGTACAAAATATACCAGGATTTCTGTTGTAAATCCCGTTATCATTTAATATTCCTTCTATTGAAGAAACATTGCTGTATTTATTCAGGGTCATACTGATGAGCTTTGGGGACTAGCAGCTCATCCCTCCAAACCTCAATTTTTCACTTGTGGACAAGACAAACACATTACGCTTTGGGATGCCATCACCCATCGTCCAATCTGGAACAAAATTATAGAGGTATGACCCCATCCTCGCTTTTTCACACTTTTGTTAAAATCCAGAATTTCCTCTATGTGCTGATTTGTTATATGCACTGAATGGATATTGACTGAGAAACTTATGAACTTAATTTAGACTTGTAAGTTAACAGTACATCAGTATTCATGTTAGTGTATTTGGGAGTGGGGGCATGTTTTGGATAATTAATGTGGCAGTAGATGACAAGTACCTATGTTTGCTTAGATTTGTTAGATCTATGACTTACAGTCCTATATAAGATTGGAAATTTTTAGGAAAAATCTGCCTGAAAACATGGGTCAACTTATTCACATGTCAATGTAAATATGGCAACTTACTCTGAATATTCATGTATAAGTCCAGAAATTTTAGACAAAAAATTAAGCCAAAAAACCTGGGTCTACTTATCCATGGGTCAATATGAGTATTGTACTTGGACACTTCTTAAAAACGAAACCACCCCATCTCTGGATAGAGCTTAGAGTAACCCAGGAGAACCTAAAAGAAGCACCAACTCCCCTCTCCTCTCCCCACCATGGCACCACTTCTGGCTTTTTTGTGTGCCTGGGCAAGGAAGTGGTAGTGGTAGCCAGGTACGGCTAGTCCCCCCTGGTGGCACTGGTGCATTTCCCTCTCCATAAAATGACTCTCAACTTTTCCATGGGTCATGTCAAAATCCATAATTTTGGCCTAAAACCTGAAATCAACTTTAATACATAAGTATATGGTAACTCTGATTTTTTTTTCTCAGTGAAGTGACAACACTGGGAGAACCTAAAAGAAAGAGGAGCCTCATCTACAATCTCCACCATAAAACCTTAATGCATTTTTGAATGTCTGGGTGGGAAAATGGTAACAGGCATTGAATGTTTGCCAATCTTTTGTTGCACACCACCCTGAGTCTCTTTTGGGAGATAGGGCAATATAGAAATAAATTATTATTATTATTATTATTATTATTATTCATGGGTCATATCAAAACCCATAATTTGACCCCAAAACCTGCCTTCAACATATACATGAGGTTGACCTATACATAAATATGGGATAATTCTCATTTAACAATTTGCATCTCCAAAATGATTTTCAGAGCAATTCTAAAATGGTTCTTACAGATGAGAAATATTTGTTGGTGGATATTATTCCTATCAGCTGCAGCTAGTGGAAAATAGGTGGATTTCCTAGAATATCTTCTATGTTCACGTGGTATTTACCCAGTCCGATACAGTTTTTATTGACATGCATTCATAAATTGCTCTGAAACCCAGAGTAGAAATAATCTGAATGCTGTTGAAGTTTGTTTTTTTCAGTGTGGCCTAAATCAACTTGTTAAGATTAGACTTATTGTATCAGTGGAGCTTACCTAAACTGATGTTCTAAGTTTCCTTTGATTTACCTTGTAAGTAAGAATTAGATTTAGAACAGAGTACTTTATGGTTCTTTTTCTAAGCACATAAATTCCTTATGCTATCTGATTGCTATTTTCTTTTTTTAAAAATCCCAAAAACACAATTATACATTTAATTACCTGTATTTATTTTATTTTAAATTATATTTTCAAACATGTTTTCTTTTGGGCTTATATGGATTGCAAAAATGTGTTCATTTATTTTGACTTACATCCTGTTTTTCTTCCAGAACTGTAATCAAAAGCTCCTTTCAACAGTTTTTTTAAGTATAAATAAAATCACAGTAGCATATGGATATAAAAATTGACTTTATTGCTGATTCTGTTAAATATCGGTTATATATCTGGTGATCTGTTAAGGCTTATCTAAGGGATCCTAGGAATAATAGTTTTCTAAAAGGACTTAGAATTTTTGTAAGACACCTCTTAAGCTTTTTGCAATTCTCTTAGAGAGGATAGTGTGTAAATTTAACTGTATCCTCACAGTGATTGTTTGGGGTTACAAAGAGTGGATAGAGGAGGTTCATTCATTTCTTACAGTAATAATGCTTTCCAAGGCTGTCTTTACTCATGTTGTCCACTTGACTTCTTTGCACAGCATAAGTCAAACATAGTGTGAGCAAATATCATGTTACACACAGCAGGTCTGATGACATGAGGGGTTTTTTATTTCAAGCATGGCATGCTTCAACTTAAGAGACTCTTAACATTTGAAATCCCATCCAGAGCAATACTGTACAAGCATTAATCCAAGCTCTATATACCTACTGTCATGGCCTCTTCTGAAGTTAATGTTCAGTTCTCCGATAATAAATTTCAGTTGATAGATGTCAATTTAAACTGATAAGAGTGACCTTGGAAGCTCTTACAGCTGAGAAAACTGTTCGGATGTTCTTACAGCTGACAAAATTGCTGATCATCTTCAGTTCAGTTGCCTGTGTGATAACAAATTGATGTACACTACTGTACAACTTCTGATTTAGACAATATTATGACTGACTTTCAAACAGTGTTTTTAATCATTATGTTTTCTAGTGCCTGACTGTATTAGAGATTCATAATTACCATATATACTGTGTATAAGCCAACCCAAATATAAGCCAAGGCACCTAATTTTACCACAAAAACTGGTAAAACATATTGACTCAAGTATAAGCTGAGAATGGAAAATGCAGCAGCTACTGGTAAATTCCAAAATAAAAATAGATACCAATAAAATTACATTAATTGAAGCATCAGTAGGTTAAATGTTTTTGAATATTTACATAAAACTGTAATTTAAGATAAGACTGTCCAACTCTAAACCATTCTTGTAACCTTCTTCAGTGTAAACGTGCTTAAGTATCCTTCCAATAATAATGAGAATAAAATAATAAACATAATAATAACAGTAATAGAGTAAAATAATAAATATAATAATAATAAATACAGTAAAATAATAAATGTAATAATAATACAGTAAAATAATACATGTGATAATAACAATAATAAATAGAGTAAAATAATAAATGTGATAAATTAATAATAATAATAATAATAATAACAACAACAACAGAGTAAAATAATAAATAACTTTGACTCAAGTATAAGCCGAGGGGGACTTTTTTCAGGAGATGAAAAAATACTTATACTCGATTATATACGGTAAATAGTGGATATTGCAAAACAACCTTGAGGTATGGAGGATTCATATTTACCGTGCCATCCCTGTACTTTCCACATACATCTATCCACATTCTGTGTCCATGTATACTTTTTCTTTTTCTGAAGACTTTTTTCTTTTTCTGCTAAACATACCCAGCCTTTTAAGACGGTCCTCATAGGGCATGATCTACAGACCTTTGACCATTTTAGTCACTATCCTCTGAACACCTTCCAACTTTTCAATATCTCTCTTGAATTGTGGGGAATTAAAGTTTATTGAAATAAAATTTCCTGAGAAGGTTCAGCTCCCGTTCTTATCTTTCTTTTGCTTCCCACTTTCTTTCACAAAGTGACATGGAGGTTAGATTTTTCACATAATAAATATACATGGCCTTGTTAATTATTATCTATAAGGCAGCAACACAACTTGCCATGAGCATGGAAACAAACATTGCATGGTGATAAACCTGTGGTATGGTAATCATGATTGCATTTCAGCAGCCTCAGAAAATTGACTTCTGTGTCCTCTCCTAAGTGGTACTAGAGTGACCAAAAGTGTCCAGAAGTCACTGCAATTTTCAAGAGCTTGAAAATTCAAGAGCTATCTATCTATCTACCCTATTTATACCCTTCCTTTCTCTACCCAGAAGGGAACTTAAGGCGACTTACAATAGGCAATTATTTAATGCCTTTAAAAACATTCATTTCCAATAACAAAATTAAAATTAAATTAAAATTAATACATATTAAGCATTTAAAAACATTACATTCCATATTAAAATTACGCCATCCATAATCGTAATCCAAGTCGTTCCATAGTCATTGCACATATTCCAAATTTGTTACTGCACTGCACTATTCTCTGAAAGTCTGATCCCAAAGCCAAGTTTTTACTTTTCTTCTGAAGGCTAGGAGGGAGGGGGCTGATCAAATGTCACTGGGGAGGGAGTTCCATAGCCAAGGGGCCACCACTGTGAAGGCTCACCAATCACGCTTACAAAGAGCAGGGCCTTCCCAGACGATCTTAATCTCCAATGTGGTTCACAGGGCAGGATATGTTTGGACAGATAAGCTGGGCTGGAACCATTTACTAAAAGTTAAACTCTCATTATTTTTTAAACCAATAGCAGATGCAGCTTCTTTCCCAACATGTATCTTTTACAAAAGCATTGCGCTTTTCCCAACACTTTCCTAACAGTGAGCCGACTGCATCTTCTTCCTTTTCATCAGCACTGTTAATCAATTATTCATACATTAAATTTTCCATCTGTGATGTTACTGTTAGGTGCCTTCATGTACTTCTGCTTGTTGGTGATCTTATCATAGGGTTTCTTAGCAAGGTGTACATATTAAGAGGAGGTTTATCATTGCTGTCTTCTAAGGCTGAGAGTGTATGATTTCTATGACCAAACAAAGATTTGAATGCTGGTCTTCCAGAACCTTTGTCCAGCACTCAAACCTCTACACCAATGCTTCTCAACCTGGGGTCCCCAGATGTTCTTGGCCTACAACTCCCAGAAATCCCAGCCAGTTTACCAGCTGTTAGGATTTCTGGGAGTTGAAGGCCAAAAACATCTGGGGACCCCAGGTTGAGAAGCACTGCTCTACACTATGCTGGCTTTCTATTCTATATAGCTCAATTTTTGTATATTTGAAGGTTATCTCCCAACAAACTTGTTCTACAAACTTAATGATTGAAGAAAAATTGGCTTTTTGTGAATTTTATTGAAATGGCAATTTCAGATATTTTACTTTTCTTCATCGACATTGAAGTGTGCTCCTCTTTTTCAAGTGGCATAGGTTATCCTATGTAACCAATACCATATAATCATACACTGTGGATATATATTTCTATAACTGCTGTTATAAATATAATATTCATTTAAATCCTTATAGGATCCTGCACAATCTTCTGGTTTTCATCCATCAGGATCTACCGTTGCAGTAGGAACGTTAACTGGAAGGTAAGTAAAAACCCATCCTTAGTTAATCCCAACTAAAATAAACCTGTTGAATCAACAGTTCGAATTGTGAATATAAATAAATCCTGTTGATTTAATGGATCTGCTCTAGTCAGAGGATGAACAATGGAATTTTGGCCTCTATATTTTGTCATGTAAGAATAGGTGTTTTAGACTTTAAAATATTATGATCACAAGATTGTATTGCCTGTGATCATGCTGGTTTGGGAATTTATGGGGTTGTTGTGTAAAAATGCAACGTTTTCAAATTCTCATTCAAAGGCAAGGCTGGGAGCAGGTACTTGTCTTTCAGGGCCTATTTGTGGGTTTTCTAGAGAGTTAATTCTGTGTAATTCTTTATTGTGGCACCAGAGAAAGCTAAATGTCTCATAAAACCACAAATGCGGGAATTCTATAGCTTGGTGGCTAGTGGTATATATTTATCGTGTCAGGCAGACCAAACAGTTGCATTGCATTTTTTACAAACAAACAGACAAACAAAACACAAACTTTGCAAGCTTGGTAATTGATTAAATGTCCTTTGACCAGTAGCTGGCCACTTGGAGTGCCTCTGGCGTTGCTGTAAGAAGGTCCTCCATTGTGTATGTGGGAGGGCTCAGGTTGCATTACAGCAGGTGGTTGTAGTTTGCTCTTCTCCACACTCGCATGTCATGGATTCCACTTTGTAGCCCCATTTCTTAAGGTTGGCTAGTGGTGTCAAATTGCTATACCCCTATATGCATCTGCTTTGCCATTACGGGATTGGGATGTTGGTCCAAATTGATTTGTTCAGATTTAGCAGTGTTTTTTTCCTTTGTTATCCTCGGATACTCCATTCCTTCCACACCAAACAACTTATTGACTTTGCCTCCCAATGTTTTCAACAGGTGGTTTGTGTTTGACACTGAAACAAAAGATTTGGTCACTGTACACACAGATGGAAATGAACAGCTGTCCACAATGCGTTACTCACCAGGTTTGGCATTGTTTATTCAGTTGTTTAAGTAGAAAGAAGGATCTGAATGCTTACAAAATGTATTTGCAATATCAAATCATTTCAAGCTTATGTTTCTCAGTATAATTGTTGATAACTAAAAAGTAACAAAACTTAAATATCGAATAAAATCTGAAACTTTAGATGTATCTCTGCTGGGCCAACAAAATTGAACTGTAACTCCCTTAATTGTGTATTTCCGGTGGCCAAATCATACGGTCACTTTGTGACACTACAGTTCATTTAACTTTGGCTTTGATGTGGTTCTTGGAATGTGGTATGCGTGTTGGAGAAATGGCATGGGAGAATAATTTCTCCCATGTCTTATCATTTGTGAATTTAGGCACAAGTTTTCAATGAAACCATACCAGTTTGTGTTATATTCCATGTTGTTATTGTCAAAGGAACATTATCGTACCATGCCTAAAGGCCTAGATGAGATACTCAGAATAGCAAGTAATGTACAGGATGGTTCATGTAGAAGATAGATGGAAAATATGCAGGCTAGTCTGTGGTATTCGACTATTTTGAATTTATGTGAAGTGTGCTTATAAACATACAATTCCTTTAAAAAAACAAGCATTAAAACAAATCTCATGGTTAAAACTGACAGTGGATCACTGAGCCTATTTTTCAGCCTACTCTTTGAAAGGCCTTCTAAAATATGTTGAGAAAATTACCCAAAAGCAGCATCCTATATGAGATGACCCCACTTTTCATAGCCTTATTTAACCTTCTTACTAAAAGTGTTTTAGAATATGTGGTTTATAAAGAGGCAGCATTTGCATCTTTATGCTAAAATATGTATACTTGTGTTTTGTTTTTATTTTGTAGATGGCAACTTCTTGGCAATAGGTTCTCATGACAATTGTATTTACATATATAGTGTTAATGACAATGGGAAGAAATACAGTAGAATCGGCAAATGCTCAGTAAGTAACTCCTTTATTGCCTATCTAGCAATAGGTAAATCCTGCATAGGGACCTTCAACCTTTGTGTTACTCTAGTTGCCTTTATTTGATCAGTCTGTTTAATATACCTGAAAGGTCAGGCCAGGAAGCACAATTTTAACCTAATTGATAAATTGTATTTTTTAAATAAATAAATAAATAAATAAATACTTCATAAACATCTTACCCGTTTTCCCACAACCAAAGCTTCTCAGAAATACAAAGTACATTCTAGAAATGACTTAGGGTCTAACTTTGACAGTAAATGAACTCCTTAGTAATTGAAAGGCTGAAATGAGGAAGATTTCTCATTCTTAATGTCTGTTAAGGCACCTAGGATGACTTAAAGGTAACAGAACACAGGAAGCTCCCTGTTTTGCTGATGATTCCACCAATGAAAAGAGAGGCTGAGTGAAATATAAAGTCAGCCTTGAATTTGAGGGCTCTTCCAGACAGGCCCCATATTCCAGGTTCAGATCCTAGGCTTTCTGTTTATCCTGGATTATCTGGCAGTGCAAACTCAGTGCTTTAATCCAGTTTAAAGCAGAAAACCTGGGATCAGATCCTGGGATATAGGGTCTGTCTGGAAAGGTCCTGAGGCCCCTTCCACCCAGCTGAATAAAACCCCACATTATCTGCTTTGAACTGGGATATATGGCATTGTGGACTCAGATACCCCAGTTCAAAGTAGGTATTGTAGGTTATTCTCTCGTGATATTCTGGGTTATATGGCTGTGTGGAAGGGCCCTGAGTCACTGCACTGGAAATACCCCTCCTTTCTGTTTTTAGTACTTGTGTCTTGAACATAGATAGACAGACCTTGCTATTTTCTACCACAATTCGGAGTACAACTTGTGGTTCCAACATGGTGACCTGGGTTGCTATCAAACCCAGGTCGCCTACTTGCTTTTAACATAAATAAGGCTTCAGTGTACTTTTCAATATGGCATGTATCAGTGCAATTCTATTGACGACTGTTGGAATTAATATAATGCATTTCTTCATAGGGTCATTCCAGCTTCATTACTCACTTGGACTGGTCTGCAAATTCTCAGTACCTTGTGTCTAATTCAGGGGACTATGAAATCCTATACTGTGAGTAACAAATAGTATTCTGCCTTTGGCACAGAGTTCATTCCTGGCTACCAATGAATTCCTAATATGAATAACAAACAATTATAGGCACACATTTAGTCTCAATTCTATACATGGCAACTCAGAATATAAATGTATATCTGATTGCAACCTAATGTTCATTTACCGTATTTAGTAAGACGCAGTGGCACAGTGGGTTAAACCCTTGTACCAGCTGAAGTGCTGTCCTAAAGGTCAGCAATTCAAATCCGCGAGATGTGGTAAGCTCCAGCTTCTCATGCGGAGACTTGAGAGAAGCTCTCCAAAGAATGGTAACACATCTGGGTGTCCCCTGGGCAATGTCTCTGTAGATGGCCAATTCTCTCACACCAGATGCAACTTGCAGTATATTCTCAATTCACTTCTGACACGATAAAAATGCCATGTATTTAGTGAAGCATAATGCTCCATTGAATGTAATGCGCACCTCAATTTTGAAGGTATGCATTACCAAAAAAAAAAAAAAAAGAAAGAAAGAATTTGCTGCTGCTGCTGGTGGTGGTGAAAAAGCTGATGAGAAACTGTGCCTCTTGGTCAGGCCTGGTGGGAAGCTGGTGTGGGCTACGAAAAGGCTGGTGGAACGTCACGGCCCTTCCTCAAGCCTTCCCCACCTGCCGTTTCACAGCCACTGCTGCCTGTCCTTCCTCTGACCCCAGTTGTGATCTCATGCCCAACAGCGCAGAAGGATTGAGGTGTGTGATTCTAACGCACCATCAAATCTAATGTGCACCTCAATTTTAGTGATGTCATTTAGCCAAAACAAGTATGAGTTAGACTCAAATAAATGTGGTCATTTTTGTATATAATTGATGGTACTTCTCTCCCTCACCCCCACTTCTCCCTTTCTACAGGGATTCCATCAGCTTGTAAGCAAGTAGTAAGTGTTGAAACCACTAGAGATATAGAATGGGTTACTTACACGTGTACTTTAGGATTCCATGTTTTTGGTGAGTATCTCATGTTTCTCCCATGCTCCTTCAATTGCTTATCATTCCACAGAGCAGTCTTTAACAACGGTTTTGATTTTCACATGTGTTACCTTGGATCTTGGAGGGTGGGGCCATGTAATACATCATTAATGCTTCAACAACATGATGAGGCCAGTATAGTACTGCAGTTGGGAGGTGGAAGAAAATGTTTGAATTGTGCATGACTCCTTTATTAAGTTGAATTCTCCTTTCCCCAGTGGTGTTAATTATTATTACATTCTACATTGGCATCCACTTAAGTCACGTTCATGTTAACAAGGACCATCTTCATCAGTTTGTAGATAGGGATTGTGTTTTATAACCATGATCACCTGGGTTGTGAGTTACAATTTTCTGCCTTACGAACCTGTTTGTGGGCCTGATGCTGAGATAGCAGCCTGGATGAAACAGAGAGCCAAACATGTAAGCCATGAATGGATAGAAAATGCCACAACTTTCTTGAATATAGCTAAGTAAGACCTGAGGTAGAGATAAGGCCATGGCTAGAGAGGTCAACTATGGGAATATTTTTTTATTTTTTTATTTAGGGTATTTGTACCCCACCCTTCTCAACTCCCTGGGGGGGGGGGGGACTCAGGGTGACTTCCATCCGGCACATATTCGATGCCTACAAATAAACACAATAAAATACATACCAAAACCAATAATTATAAATAGTTTAAAAATTAAGTTAATACARTAAAATCTACAAAAATAAACCTACAAAAATCTACAAAAATAAACAATAGAGAGCAAGGATTTCCCGAAGTACAAGGGCAAAAGGCCACTATATACCAAGCATAGATATGATATACATTCTTATGATTATATAACTGTATTGCTTTTTGGTGTATAGTGACCTTTTGCCCATCAACTATGGGAAGTCAGTTGAGAAAACCACATGGGAATACATTGCCCCAGTGTGCCATCTTTGCCATTTGGAAGTGAAGCTAGGTCTTATTTGGTCCCTCTGCAGCCTCAAGAACCCCCCAATGAGGGTTGAAAGAACGTATAGCCTATGTCCTCCCTCCAAAAAAAAAACCCCTGGATCTTGCTCAATGCCAGCACCACCCAAGTTGTTAAAGAAAGCACAATATGGGCAGTAAAATCTTTAAAGTGGATTGGAGGGAAGGCTATTTATGCTCAAGTGTTGAGAGAGCTGAAGAGGAGCTACTTTATTTTATCCTCCTGGATCTGATTGAAGCATTTAACTTTCAGATCTAGTAAAAAGCAGCTCTTTCCTGCCTTGACTTGTGATTAGTTATCCTTCCCAGAAGCCTGTGAAAGTGATGCATGAGTTTCTGGGAAGGAAACAGCAGAAAATGGTTTATATGGGAGCTGTGCCACAGAGGGGCTTTTCTGGTAAGTCAGAGACCCTTATATCCAGGCACAGCAGGAATTTCTCATTTAAAATGAATTCACCAAGTTGAATTGATACAGATTACCACATAGAAAAATAATGCAGTTAATAGAAATAGCCTCTAAATGTGGAATAAAATAATTCTTAAAAGACATGTTAATGTTTTCATCCAGTTAAAGTTCTAGTTGATTCCCAAGACAGAAGGTTTGACTTAAACTGATGACAATCAACTCGAACGTTAGTTGTATGAAAAATAAAAGGATTTCTTTACACACAGCTCTTGCAAAATCATAACCATCAATATGGCTTGAGAATAATGAGCAATAGCTGTAGAACTGTTTAGCATATTTGTAGCCTTTGATATAAGTTCTGGCATTCATTCTGAAAGCTTTTCCTCTGTCGTGTGGGTATTAACACAGTATAATAGTCTTCAAGCAAAAGCAGGCAAGCTGGTCAAGGTACTCACAATGGTCCTTTTCTAACAGTCTTTTCTCAGAAAGATTTAAAGGTATCTCTTCCCTTTCTCCCTGTTTTCCCTTTTTGTCTTCCCCCAGCCCCACTTTCCACACATACCTCCCTCACAATCACTCAGCTGATGGTCTTCAACATGTCTTGAGCCATACTTGTATATCTTTCTGTTGGGTTAAGGGAGTATGCTTTCTCTCCTTTAAGGGCTGTTCCCTCGTTCTCCCTCACACTCTTACAATATTATACTCTGTTTTTATTTTCTTTGGTGTTAACCTAGATCTATAATGAATTTTGCTTCATTTGTGGTCAGAAACACCTTTGGCAAAAATGACTATGCCACTTTAGAAGCATAGCAGCATTTTAATGTAGTTATTATACCAGGTTTTCTTCCATGTAGAAGCTACCTTGGTCCTCTCTACTGGAAATCTAGCAAAACACCAACATCCTGCACCTAATACATATTTAACATAGTTGCATTCCCTTCTTTAAAGTCCAAATGATAGTGTCTGTCTAGAATTGGCAGGCAAATGTGCTAAATGTAGATGAGGCACAAATCAGTGCTAATGATGGTAGGTATAGAAAACATGTTAATTTTTAAAAATGATTACTTGATGTTTCAGGTGTGTGGCCAGAAGGTTCAGATGGCACAGATATTAATGCCGTTTGTCGCTCACATGAAAATAAATTGTTATCAACTGGTGATGACTTTGGCAAAGTGCATCTCTTCTCTTATCCATGCTCACAGTTTAGGGTAAGACACCTGATGTGTTAAAAAACCTTCAATGTTAAAAGGAGTTATTTTGGAAATCGCTCCCATTTCTAAAATGTTTATTGGCTTATTTGGGATTTAGTGCTGTTGATAAATTTACTGGAGGCTTCACAAAAGTATACTATGATTACAATAAAACCAACGAAGATTCGCATAGTTAAAGCAACAGTATTCCCCGTAGTAAGAGAGCTGGACCACAATTTTGAACTGTGGTGTTGGAGGAAAATTCTGAGAGTGCTTTAGCAAGAAGATCAAACTAGTCCATATTCTGTAAAATAATGCCCAGCTGCTCACTGGAGGAAAGGATATTAGAGGCAATGATGAAGTACTTTGGCCACATAATGAGAAGACAGGAAAGCTTAAAGAAGAGGATGATGCTGGGGAAAACGGAAGGAAAAAGGAAGAGGGGCCAACCTAGGGCAAGATGGGTGAATGTCATCCTTGAAGTGACTGGCTTGACCTTGAAGGAGCTGGTAGTGGCCACAGCCGACAGGGAGCTATGGCGTGGGCTGGCCCATGAGGTCACGAAGAGTGACTGAATGATTAAACAACAACAACAACAAAACATTCATGCCACTTGATGTGAAAATTGTCATATTGTCTTCTATTTGCCTTACCCTAATGACATGTGACAAAAATATAATGCCAATTCCTCACATTAGATAGCGTGAGAAGTACCATACACTCGTCAACCTCATGTATAATTCCAGGGGAGGTTTTGGGGCTAAAATTGTGAAGCTTGATATGACTTATAGACGAGTCATGTTTTTTTTAATAGAGAAGAGAAACTCCCAGTGTCCCCTCAGGAGGCCACCAATGCTACTTCAGCTGCCTGCCACCAAAAAGAATTCAAAAAAGAACTGAAGCTGCACCACGTGGGAAGAAAATAGAGGGTGCTTGTGCTTCTTTTAGGTTCTCCCAGGATGAACTGAGTTCTTTCCTTTTTCCACTCCATTCAGAGATTGGCATGGGTACTTTTTATAAGAATTAAGACACAGTGCTTACACTGATTTGTGAGTTAGTTGACTCAGGTTTGGAGGGAGCAGGGTTGACTAAAAAAATAGTCTTATATATGAGTATTACCATTCTGTTCGACATAAAACATAGATAGCTACAGATTTGTTCTGTAGTCAGATTTGGCAAATCATTTCTCTGTTTTTGACAAAAATAAAATCAAGAAATTATGGATTGTGCTATGGCTCTATCTGCAATAAGAGTGATGATGTGAAATATGTGTGACGAATAGGAAGAAACAGCAGTAAGACTGCTGCTATGCATTCCACCATTTGTAGCAATAAAATAAATAATAGAATCATAGAGTTGGAAGAGACCTCGTCACCATCCAGTCCAACTCCCTGCCAAGAAGCAGGAACATCGCATTCAAAGCACCCCTGACAGATGGCCACACTCTGGGGCAGAGAGTTCCACTGCTGAACAGCTCTCACAGTCAAGTTCTTCCTAATGTTCAAGTGGAATCTCCTTTTCTGTAGTTTGAAGCCATTGTTCCGCATCCTAGTCTCCAGGGCAGCAGAAAACAAGCCTCCTCCCTATGAATTCTCCATGCATATTTATATATGGCTATCATGTCTCCTCTCAGCCTTGTCCAGCTCTTTAAGTCGCTCCTCATAGGGCTTGTTTTCCAGACCCTTGATTGTTTTAGTCGCCCTTCTATAGACACATTCCAGCTTGTCAACATCTCCCTTAAATTGCGGTGCCCAGAATCTTCCACAGTATTGGGATTAGTACATTGCTTTGATGGATTTAAGTAACACAAGAAGCACTGAATTGTCATATGTGTGACAGGTATTGGTTAATGAGCCAGGCAGGATGTATTGTGGTAACAGCTCTAGCTGCTGATGTTCATAGTTCTGTTATTGACAAACGTCCCTTTATTGATGTCTTCCAGGCTCCAAGTCATGTGTACGGCGGGCACAGCAGTCATGTAACCAATGTAGATTTTCTATATGAAGATACTCATCTCATCTCCACAGGGGGAAAAGATACCAGCATTATGCAGTGGCGGGTCATTTAGTGGAAACCTTGTATGAATATGTGTATAACCAAGAGCTGGCTGTGCAGGAAAGTTCTGTATAAACTGTATATTTAAGATTTAACAGTATGGTTGCCGTTTAGCCTAGTCACTGTGATTTTTACGTTTTGAAATCCTTACAAACCTCAGGAAAGCAAAGTATTTGGCTGGTTGCCGTACTTATTTCAGTAATTTGTTAAGCATCGCTTCAAAACAACAACAGCAAACAATACTTTATCTCTCTCTCTCTCTCTTCGTTGTACAACAAATGAAGCAGTATACATTTAAAATTGATGTTTATGCAAAACATGAACAGGACTTTTCTATTAAAATAGTCACAAACATGCTTATCTTAATACTATGGTTACGTGCTTCACAGTGTCATTATTTACACTTCGTACTGTCTAGCTGCATAGTTACAATATCTATGGTCACAAAAGTGATGCTACTCCTATTTCTGATGAAGAATGGATACAGAAAGCTTAAGTAAAAATGAACAATATCAAGAGAACGAGCCATTAAGCATTATGGTTTTGCAATATATATTTTGATGGTGCTTCCGTATGTTTGCCATGTTGAAACAAAATAGTAGTCCTTTCATCCTGTCATGAAAAACATGTTTAAATAAGGAAATGTGAATATTAGAATATTTGACACCTTTTTCTTTTTTCTTTTTCTGGCATAGCAACCATTAAACAGAGGACTATAATCCAACAAAATTTAGTTGCAACTGAATTTCTGTAGGAAAAACTCCAAATGCTGTTCTGTTGCAACTAACTTAAGTCTTCGTGATTTTGGAGAGGTGAACATTTGCTGTATTGTGTCCAGATTTTTCTTCTATTTCAAATGAAACAGGTTCAACCCCAGTTTTAACTTGAACGTCTCAGCAGGGATTACAGATTCAGGTAACCTGGTTCAAAGTTATTATTTTTTTCAACATATAAATCATCAGGCTATTTTATTTTTCAAAAAGTAATGCATCAACTTGACCACATCTCAGTTGAGAGAATACACCAATCTGTATGTTGATCATCATAACTATTACTACTTTACATATGTGTATAATTATTTTTAGCAATTCATAAGAAATAGTAAGGCATTCTAAGCTTTACTTGTCTATTGCTTATGGATATTGTATATTCGTATTTTAAGGCCAAGTAGACTGTGTATAAAGAGAACGTTCTAAGTGTACCACCAATCTGTCGAAGAAATGGGGAGATGAACACACACGAACCATTCGCAGAAACTGTTTGATTGCACAAGCAACTCCTATGTCCTTTGAATTGTTTTAAGGGAATCTGTAAAACAGACTGTAAGGAAGAGTTGCCCCAGGATCCTTGCAAAGGACCCCTGTTCTTGAATCGTGTGATGGAGTCATGTCAGTGAGCAAAATGTCTGAGTTTGCCCTGAAATGTCAATTAATAATGCCCACTCTACCTGCTGTGTATTTTGCATGGACTGATATTTATAGTACAAAATCAGATTGTGTTTCCCAGCAAAGTAAAAAGCGAAGGTGGGATAAAGTAGTTCAGAGAAGGCCTTATCAATTCTGATTGTGATATGAACTGAAAATTATTGTTTACATTTGGGAATGTATCTAAAGATTTTAAACAAGCAGGCTCTGAAAAATGAAACAGTAAAGGATGCTTTTTTTTAAAACAGTGAATAAGCAACATGTGAATTAATTAACTGAACTCTGAAGCACGGGCTGTTTAGAGTTATTTCAGTGAAGATGAAATAAATTTTGAAGCTTTTTTATTACATCTCCAACTTGCTGCACTGAATGTGCAGGCCATCAATAAACATAATGTATTAAAGTGAATTGTTCTGATTTGTTTGTGTTTCTATCATTCATAATTTATTATATTTAATACTGAACTTTTACTGTGCTTCTGGATAAAAAAATTTCAACGCAAACATTTGTATATATGAGCATATGTCAAGAGGATGTAGAATGAAGATTTTAGTGCACTTCGAGTCTTTTTATGTATTGATCACTCGCATCCTGCAGCCAAGTGCTGAAAACAACTTGTACTACAGATCACAAAATAAATCACAAAAGGTACAGCAATGCATCGAAAACTGATAACATTCTGAAACTTGTTAATAAAACAAATGTTAAGGAAATGTCTATCATGCAGAAATTTTCACTGGAATTATAGGGAAAGTGTGGTAGCAGTGACAAGGATACCAAAATACAGAGGAAGGCAAAAGTAGAAAAGCATACTCCAAAAAGTAATGCAGTAGGTCCTTGTATTACATGAGGGATCTTTTCCATGACTTTTCACATAACAATCTGAAACTCTGAACAATGAAGGCATGGCCACCAAAAAGCATAAGTATTGACTTTCTGATTTAGAGATATTGTCAGAAGAGGGAACTTTTATCAGAAGAATTATCATCAAAAGATGGTCCAGGATGATATCGAAAGCAGACATTGTCAGTGGTAGGGTGTGTCAGGAGCAGATGTTAAGAATTGTTGGATTCAGTGCCAGGAGCATACATTTTGGATGATTGGATCTCAATGTCGGGAGCAGATGATGTTGATGGTCAGGGATTCTCAGCTGCCAGAACCTTTTGGAAGAACGTTTCAATGGGAATTTGCTGTCTCTTCTTATTCATCAGAGTGTTGCTGCAAGGATTGTGATCCTAAATTATTGTAAGGGTGACTTGAATGCTGTGTTCCATCCAAGAATTATATGCCATAGTTTTGTCCTTTAAAGTCTATGTAATTTGAAACACTGGTGAACTTCTCTAATGTGTTGCCAAAGGCTTTCATGGCCAGAATCACTGGGTTGCTGTGAGTTTTCCAGGCTGTATGGCCATGTTCCAGAAGCCTTCTCTCCTGACGTTTCACATGGCCAATGCTGTTTCAATTTCTTTTTCTACCTCATCCTCTGAAAAGATCCTACTGAGTTCCTCCAATTCCTCATGGCCATTGAAATGTTTCTCATGGACCATGTAGCAAATCCTCAACCAAGTTGTCATTTTTCTTGTAACTTATCCACTGATTCTGGGGGATTGGGAGGGGGGCATGCAGTTCATCTGTGATACTACTCTGTAAGTTCTTCCATCAGGCAGTGATTGGTTCTGCTTTTATGTATGAATGTTATTGCATCAGCAATTGTGAAAGATTTCCAGCCCTGCATTATATCCACATTAGGCTCTGCATCACTGGCAGCTACAATGTGCTCAAATACCAGCCCACTGTACATAGCCTTGACAAAAAAAAAAGATCCCCTGGTTATGAGGCTGAATCAATGATTGTATTCGGAGGTAAGAAAACAATTTTATTATGCTGCCAGAACAGAGGCAGAAAAAGCTTTTTTTTTTTTTTTTGAATGCACGGGTCCTTCAAAAGGTACACTATTCCTAGCTTGATCATATGCCCGGCAGAATTGCTACTTATGCCCAGAGTCCATCTGATCTTACATGCCCCGGTGCTACCTTCTCAACCTGTGGGTCCCCAAATGTTTTGGCCATCAACTCCCAGAAATCCTCACAGCTAATAAACTGGCTGGGATTTCTGGGAGATGTAGGCCAAAACATCTGGAGACCCACAGGTTGAGAACCACTATCTAGCTGATAGGTTTTTTTGTTTTTTTCCAGAAGAGTTTCACCATAGTTGAACACCTGTTTTGGATGGYATCTTTCTCCTCTATAAACTTCTTAAACACTTCTGGAAATATTGCAGCAATGTATAGCTTGGCAGATACAGCCTCTCCAATCAATTATATATTTTTAAGCCCATATTTATTCCGAAATCTCTTTAAGCATCCCTTACTTGCAGAAAGCGGCGTGGTAATGCTCACTTCAAGGACTGTAACTTCATTCAAGCTCAGTGATTTCTGAGAGATACCAATAAAGAGATCTCTGTGCCTACTAGATTTCCATTTTTTCCACCTTTCAACAAAAGATCAGATCCCTAGCACAAGCTTTTAGATGAGAAAATCTGACAATTGGGTGCTGTCCCCAATTCTTTCTTCCCCCCATTTATTTGTGTAGCAAAGCAGGGAGAGACACACATTGGATTGTTAATTGTGTTTTTATGATTGTTAAATTTGGCCATCTTTCAGGGGTGTTTTGAATGCAATTTTCCTGTTTCTTAGCAGGGGGTTGGACTGGATGGCCCACGAGGTCTCTTCCAACTCTATGATTCTATTATACTAATTTCTGTTATTTAAACCTAATAAATTAAACTATTTTGGATACAAAATAGCCGTCCCAAGTCCCCCTGGGGAGAGGGGATGGGATATAAATAAAGCATTATAGTTATTATTACTACTATTACTACTACTAAAAAAGTAGGACATAAGCCTTTTATAAAACAAAAATTCAGTAAGGATCCCCCCATTTGGGACTGAAAATTCTACTCATGTCATTATTTGGTAATCCATATCATAAGATGTGATTCTGCAGATTGTTGGCCTACCTCTGCACCTAGTGAACTGCAAAGTAAAGCCTTTTAAAGTTCTGAATTTTAAAAATTTATATTGCTTAGCATTCTGCACCTGTGATCCAGTAGGCATCATATGCCGATACAATCTATCATAAACATGTTAGTGGCCCTTTTAAAAGAAAATGGGAAACTGCACCTACAGGTACAAAATAAATGATGGGAGATGTGGAAGGAAACTGACAGTTTAGCCTATCATCATTCATTCATTCATTTATTTACTGTATTTGTATACTGCCTCTCTCAGCCCTCAGGCGACTCGAGACAGTTTACAAGGCAAAATTCAATGGCCCAAAGTATAAAAACAATATTAAAACAATTACATAAGTGAAATCATGACAACAGCAATAAAACATAAATCATTAATGAGTTCTTATTAAAACATTGTCCAGTTCCATCGTATAGTTGTTCCATTTTCCTATGTCAGCTATTCTGTATTTGCAAATGCTTGCTCAAAAAGCCATGTCTCGAGTTTTTTTGAAATGTTAGAAGGGAAGAAGCTGATCTGATATCCCTGGGGAGGGCGTTCCATAGCCGAGGGGCCACCGCTGAGAAGGCCCTGCCTCTTGTCCCCGCCAGACGGACTGAGAGCAGGGCCTCCCCAGACGATCTTCAAGTCCTATGTAGTACCATCTCTGGAGCTTTGTAATTGAAGGAACAACAAAACAGCTACCGGTCCTCAGGCTTACAATGTAATTAAAACATGAAACAAAAGGAAAAGGGAATGGCAATGTGGCAAGGGATTATACCCAGCAGATACTGCCCATTGTTCTGCCCCCCCCCCCCCCCCGAGGCAAGGGTAGTAGCAGTTGGAGTGAAGGGAAGGCCTGTCATCTGCTACTGAGCCTTAATGGAGCTCTGCCTCCTCTCCATCCGAGGCCTGGGCGGTGACAATTGGAATAGGTGAGGGACTTTTTTCTGCAGGACCTGGGCATGGTGCCTGCCTCTTCTCTCCCTCCAATGCTAAGGCTGTAATAGTTGGGATGGAGAGAGAACTTTTCATCTGCTTCTGAACCTATCGATGGATCAATGCCTGTCTCTTCTCTCCCTCTGTAGCCATAATAGTGTTCCTCTTTGGGTTGTGTAATTTTAGATTTATTACACTTGTCATTCAACATCATAACATCAGCAACAACATTTTTGTTACCATCCTCTCCTCATAGCTCGAGCATTATTGAGAAATCTGTCCCCCAAATGTGGCTGCATTGGAACATACAGCAAGTGCATGTGCTTTTGCCTTGTAGTAACCCATTCATGATTTATCTGTGAAATGTTGCCTAACACACCCAGGATCCCAGAAGACGATACCTCAAATTGCCATAATCTTCGCACAATGATCTGGGAGATAGGAGGCAACTACACAATGAACTTTCACCAGAGCCTGGGGTTCTTTCCCTATTTTCACCTGATGATCTGCCCCCGGTGGCACAGTGGGTTCAACCCACAGGTCGCAGGTTCGAATCTGGGGAGAGGCGGATGAGCTCCCTCTATCAGCTCCAGCTCCTCATGCGGGGACATGAGAGAAGCCTCCCACAAGGATGAAAAAAACATCAAATCGTCCAGGCGTCCCCTGGGCAACGTCCTTGCAGACGGCCAATTCTCTCACACCAGGAGTCACTCCTGACACGACAAAAAAAAAAAACCTGATGATCTGGGAACATTTTCCTCTCCTATGCCCCTGGCAAGACCCATTCTTGCAACACCCATTGAAATGGCTGTCCCCTAAAGCACCCATTGTTTATCTTGGATTAACCCCTTTGTGTCCATCACTGGCAAACCATTAAGCTCATCATGAGCCCATTGCCAATTGCCACACCACATTCCTTTCCTATTGTTCTCCTCTCAGGAGTGGATCAATAAACTGGCAGACACTTCAAGTTACTCCAATGACAGTTTATTAAAAATTTCCCCCCAAAGCAAGCACTAGCCAGTGACGATGTCGATTGAACCAACCAATAACCACATCCTAGCCAAACATCCTGAATATCTGTCAGATGTTATACATATGCTCTGTATTCACAGTTGCAGTATATCAATTGTTTTGACTACTTTCTCTGCTGATGTTCTCTTTGGCCATTGAAAATAAACCTCTCTTCTTACCTTCCACCCATCTATTTCTTATTTGACCTTCTGGGAAGCTAGATATGCCGGGCCCCTGTACTCACAGTTCTTGCAGAAGCTAAAATCACAATACAAGGGAGGGTACAACACAAAATACAGCAACATAAAATGCATACAATACATACAATAAAATGTAAAATATATTAAAACATGGTACAAAAATTAAAATGTTATATAAAAGCTGAGAATCCCTTTGGGGCTATGCTAAATTAATAAAACACTGGCATGTTGTTGTGTGTTGTTGT